CGTGACGGGCGATGCCATGTGCGGGACGGTGAGTGGGAATGGGTATGGCTTGGTTAATTAGTTGATGGATTGATTATTAGTTGATGAGCTCATGAGCTGATCAATTGATAGGTTAAGGTGCAATTTATGATTTTTAATTTGTAGCCTTACTTTTGTTATTTGATTTGGGGGTTCGTGTTAGGGATACTGCATATTGAGGTTTATAGGGATGGAAATAAAGTAGATAGATTGATGGATATGGTGAAAATAGAGAGCTATTTTAAAACAAGGGGAAATAAAAATCATAAAAGAGAAATAATTTTATAAAGATGTACATTTAAATGAGAAATAATTTAGGAGGAAAATATATCGTGATACAGTGTTATGTAGGATAGATGAATTGAAAACAGAATATTACTTGATATTGTATACCAATGGTAATAGATTTATTATTATTATACTAGTACACCAGCAACTTCAAACTAAAGCTTTTCAGAGCTAAGCACCATGCAAACGCCATGCCATTATGTTTTTACCATCCATATCCCACCATTATTTCCCATAACCATACAAACCTTATAAGAACTAGAGTCTCGATCCAGCCTGCCATCTCGTTTCATCTCTGAAATGCTCATCATTATCCCAACTCATTTCATCCCTATAATGCATCGTTGGATCTTCTGCCCTCGATGATGGAACATCTCTATACTGTCCATCAGCCATCAATTCTTGGTTCCTCAACATAATTGCTCGATCTTTCTTCTTTCCCAATCCCATTCTCTGTCTCCTTGATCCAGTTCCATATCCCTTGCGTCGACCCATCACACTTCCCATCCCAATAGTACGATGCTTACGATTGCAGTAGTATGTTCCACCGATGACTAGAACAATGAATGCGAGGACTGTGGGGAGGGCTATGTACAATGAAGCACCATGAGGAGCTCTGCTCGGGGGTTGACGATATGGTTCAGGCGCGGGCGAGGTAGTCACCATTAGTGTTGGACCTTGTATGGAAGAGATTGCGGTTTTTTGAGTGGATGTGATGAATAAAGTTATATTGTTGGAGTTCATGCCCTTTAACCAGGCCTTATCTATCGTCCAGGCGATAAAACCAAGGCTGTTGCTTGTTAGAATTGATTGGAAAGCTTGTACACCTCCGCCGGATGCATTCACATAATTTGCTTGTATGAAAACCGAGTTATTCGAGCCAGTCAAATATTCAGTATCCCATGTAACTAGTTTTTGTTAATAAACACCCAATACAAGATTAAAACCACTAACCATAATATGTTTCATCGACATATACATTGGATCCATTATCCGGCTTGCAGAACGGTGCGAACTTGCCCTTGAGATTGTGGCAGATCTCAAAAGCTCCACCTCCTGTCGATGTAGGTAATACTTCACCAGATGTAGATGTCCTCGACGTAGTTCCAGAAGTAGAGGAAGTATCAGAGGCAGTCAATGTTGCAGGGGCAGCATCAATTGTTGTCGTTTTACCGTCGATTGTTGTGAGGATTGGGGTGACCGTTGAGGCATGTCCACTGGCATCGACTGTAACCCATGGAATTAAATCTACGTCTGTGGTTGAGGTTGGAATATCTAACGCCGAGGTTATCTTGTTCGTGGCCGTAGCATCGATTGGGGCAGAAGAAGAAGTTCCAGTGGAGGGATGCTCGTTGGAATCGATTGTGTCAGATTCTGTAGAAGAATTGGTTATTATGAAAATCCTTAATATTTTGAGATGGATATTTAATAACTACCTGCTTTGGGAGCTGGTGAAGCTTGTGTGATTGCATACAAAAGCCCTGTTGTTATTGCAAGAAATGACACCTGCATTTTGCTCTTCTGCCTCCCTTTCGCACCTTATGGAGGATTTCGATGTTCGAAGGTGCTCGATTGAATAAAGCAAGTTTGAGCTTTCAAAACTACATAGATTGCATATAGTCTAGGGATCAATAAATGAAGAACTTCTGACGAAAGGCTTACAATTAGTCAATTGTGATGAAAATGCCTAGTACTACAGGTACCAGATGAGAAGCTGAGGGAGGGATCCAAAGCACGGACGTTCCTGTTCCTGACTAATGATTGACAGGGACCCATTTTTCGATAAGACTTTGATATATCATTGGGTATTGATCATTTGAGATGAATTTTATATTTTATACTTCTCGGCTGTAACCGAATTCTGGGGAAAACTGTGGATAGTGTCAATGTTATCGAAATGATCGTCGTCGCCGTTGCTTCTCCATTACAACTACTTTAATCTCCACCATTGATACTTTCAACCCAGGCTCTCTGTTTCAGCTGTTTTGTGTTTCAGCCATGGGAAATTTTGAGGCATAACTTAAGCAAATTACCATGTTATAATTATGGTTGCTTTAGCTTCATCTGTTGACCCGAAACTTTTCACATTTTTATGGATTTACTTTGATATGATATCATCAATTCTAAGTTATTGGTGCAGTAGTTCTATACCAGTATGGAATATTCTGGGTACAAATACTCCTCATATTAACCAAGATCTAACTAATTTACACAGCATCTCATAAACTTCTCAAGCATGGCATTCCTCCTATAAAATTGAGAAATTTCCATTAAATTTTCTTCTTGCTTGTAAGTTCTGTACCAAATCTCTATCATAGGATAAATGCACGTTTTTTTCTATGGCTGCGTAAAACAGGAATTCTCACCTCCAAGTATAATCGCATCTAATGCTATTGATCTTTTTCACAAGATCAAGCCTTCAATCCCCTTTGATCATACCTTCTCTTCTGGGATTCTCTGGGATTGTCTCAAAAAACCTTCTTTAGCAGTTCTGTAACTAAAATAAATAGAATTCTACACATGATATTTCTACACTGGTGGTACAGATTTCACCATAACGTGCTTGAAATTCGTAGGTGTGTCTCCACTAACCAAGCCAACAACGCATCAAAAGCGTCACCAAGTAAACAAATCATTTTTGTCGGTAACGGATAATCCTAGTACATATTTACAGGATTAAATTGAATTGAGGTCTTAGCTCAGAAAGCAGTATTAGAAAGGAAGTTTTTGGATATTTTGGGTTGTGGGGGTTGTCAGCTGAAGGCCAGAATCTCGGGGTAAGTTTTTGGTATAAAGCGCTCAATGGTAAGGAATTACATATTTTATTTCCCTTCAGCAATGCTTCCCAATTAATGTAGAAAAGAAAATTAATCTAGTAATAATGAGAGATTTACGTTCCTGTGATTAGGAAATCAAAACTTTGCCGCAACAACACCATTTAATAGAACCTCAAGAGAAATTGCGGTTCTCGGGGTGTGGCGGAAGAAAGAGCTTACACTAAATACTCGAGTAGATATCCCAGGATCGACGTATCGAACTTGTACAAAATTAAGAACAAAAATCTCCTTTCAACATAATCTCTCTTGGCTGTTCACATATAATAGTCCAGATAGCATAATGTTAGATGTTCTTTTGTTATTTCTAAAATACTCTAATATTCGGTTAATTCAGGGGCCGAGCAGACAAGAACTGTAAAGAGCTCAGAGTTCATAACACTGAACATGATTTTGATGGGAAAATTCCTCATGTAAAACATTGCTGATACTTATTGTTGAGCGAAATATTGTTATGATCATCTTTATGCACATAATTAGTGGATTATTTTTGAACGATTCATGATGTTGCGCCGGAAGCTGTAAGTTGAACCTTTGTAAAGTACAAAAACATGGGTTGCTGATGGAACTGTGTTGTGGAGCTTAGGATATCATGTATTTGAGAGAGTTTTCAAGCAATCAACCATTACTTCAAGCACTTCCTAGCCAGTTTCTGCCTGCTGCGATCAATGATTTTTATATATAAGTTTAATACCCTACTCTTGGGCTACCCCTGTAACGATACTGTACTAGAGGCAGCGGATGCCTGAGGTTTCGTCTGGTTGGTAGTTGTGGATTAAGGCTATATCACTGGTATTCACTTGGAAGTGAAGTCGTTACTAGATCAAGTAGAATGTAGGTAAACTAATTGATAACTAAGTTGAGCACGAAGTTCCTATACTATGAAACTACTCTGACTATATAATGATCCCTTTCCTGGAGCCCTGGGGAGCCTTCGCTCCCAGAGGCTCCATCACGTGATCTTTTATCTGCCTCAGGACACTTATCCTGGGACAATTATTATCCTAGGACGTTTTATCCTAGGACGCATACTATCCTAGCTCAACCTGGACACTTGTCCTGTGCCATTGTGGTTGCCTAAACGTTTGTCCTAGGATTCCTAGGTTCCTTATCGAAGCCGATAAGGAACCTCCCTTAAACCGCGGTTAGATCACATTCCCCCTGTAATCGGCAGCTAAATCACCGACACTCATATACCATAATCTAAACCGTGATTCGTGACAACCCCCTAATTGTTACGAGTTTTGCCGTCTAGATCACGTGGAAGTGCTCTAGGCTCTCGGAGTGGTTTATAACTAGGCGTCAAGCAGGGACTTAAGTAATGACAATGATGCAATTCGTAACTAATAGTAGAGTATACTAAATGATTGATCTTGAGCACGAAGCTCTACAGTGAGGGAATCCCTCCTAGTTATATAGATCTTCGTACTCCCTACCCCATCGCTCCCACTTGATTTAAGTCGGTGGGATCGGTGGGAATCATATAATAACAGAGTCTGTGCTCTTCAGATCCCCACATGACCTTAATCCCATACTATTTTGATCGAATCGCATCTCGTAGGCACACGATCGGTTACTGTAAGATCCGTGATCGTAACAAAACGGAGCTAACATCTCGTTTTACAATCTACTCAACATACAATTGATAGTGATTATATTGTTCTTATGATTGCAAAGAATGTCGTGATATTCCCGGCTTCCCATGGCGTACTCTATTGACAGCACTGTGTCTCCTTGGGACATTTTATTTACTATCAAGAAGCTTTTGTCCACAATTGTAAGTTATTTGAAATTCATCCTCCATTATCGCTTAGCATATTCATCCTTCGATGTCCAGATGTGCATGCAACGTTCAAATTTCTGTTTTCTTTACAAGGCTGGAGTATCTACACAATGAGTCAATGTCCTACCTCTGATCTTATGTTTATTTTTTCTTGCAAATACTCAAGAGATATTGGCTTTCTACCCAGCTATGTGTCTATCTATGAGTATTACTATAGAAATTTACAGTATATTTAGCGCATCAATTTGAAAGCTTTTCAGTATTGTTTCTTTCCGATCTAAGAATTTCCAAAATTCAGCCTTACGGGGTAAGAATTGTTCTATAAATATTCTTTTCTCCTCAGAACCATGATATTTCCTCCACATCCACTTCAGAAAAACACCAAATATGCCTGTTCCCACGTCACTTTAGTCACTATACAATGCCTTTCAAGTTAAGAGACTAATCTACTGGTTTCTTTATCCTTAACACATTGACACCAATGCACTGATAATCTTGAACTTTTTCCTAATAATATCCCCTCAAAGCTCAGTACAATCTATCCAATAGTTTGAACTCAACTTTAGTTAAAAGCTTTCAAAGACTCTTTAATGATTCCAACAATCAAACATGGTTTCAATCTTCTAAAGTCCCTTTTCGTTAGACTATAGCCCATATATTGATCACACTCTTCAGCCCTTCTTCTATCCGCATCACTATTGGCGCCCCATCTTAAAATACTAAACCAACCTCATTACTGATAGATTAATGCCGGAATTTTGGCAAGGGGAAAACTTTGCGATAATTGCTTTGCATACCAGAGATTGTGCAAACGCGACATTGTATAGCCAGCAACGTCAGAAGAAGTGTAAAAGCAAAGAGCTGATTTGTTCCTTGAAAGAAATATAGGTCAGACTACTACTGTAGCGAGGTAAGATATATAATTTCTTGTTATTTTATTTTCTTGACTCGGGTTTGTTAAATAACAGATATAAGAAGTGCTACAAAGCCGGGCGAGTACACCATTATCAGTATGGATGTGCTCCCCTGCGAAGAATGGTCAACAGTCACCAGAAGGACCACGTGATTTCATTGATGACTGCGATATTCCCTTTATCTCCGTATCCTCTATCTCGCAAAGGGAAATAATTTTCACGGGACACGATTACAGGAGTATGTTACGATGCCAAAGGGGACGTCTTTTCACTTTGAGGCTCAAGAAAGGGTTTAGAAAAGAAATCAAGAAATGATGCATATCTTGAAGAACATACGAAATCGAAACTGACTGAGGATGAAATCTTACATATTATCTGGACTGTAAACTTAATCTTCCGTTCCTTTGCATGTTAAAATCCAAAATCAATGGTTATTATCTATAGACTATTGGTCAAGGTGTCCAAATTCAGCAAACAATTCTATGCGGAGTTAATAGACAGCATGGAGGCTACTGAAACACAAATACTGCCTATTATGTTCAATGTGGTCGTAAGTAAAGCCTATTTAACCAAATACCCCCTATTATATCTGCGACGAGACCATGCTGAATTAATCTTACATCTCACGTCTTACATCTTTACAGACTGCTTCGAACCGTCCATTTCAATCAGGACAAATGATAGCAATACAAACACCAGCTAGTACTTCGACTGCGTAATGTACATCCTACAAACGGACTGTGCCATGCCCGCCGGTTCACGGTTGCAAGCCATTATCAAAACCGTCGTACTGAACCTGTCTACAGAAGAGCCTTGACTGCAAGTGCGCTTTATGTCTCGAGGGGATCTAAGACGATCTTCTCAAGCATATGCCTTCAATCCATTACAGCAACTACAAAACCCAGGCTGACAAACGCTAACCGAACAACCATCTTCCGATAACCCAGTGTCCCTTGAATTCGAATCAAAAGGATTCAGCTACAACGGTTCTGGTTTGAGAAATTTTCACATGAATATGGTCCGGGGACAATTCCATGGAGATCTGAGCATTGAAGTGAATGATCATAAAGAGTTCTTGAGACTCCTTCTCATCGTCTACTACTTGGTCGATCCTGTTGCATGTCCGGTACTACTACGTGAAGAGCATTTCGAAGTTTTATATCTCCTCATGCATGTAGCTCCCGGTGAAAACGACCCCCGGTTCAAGACAGCGACGTTGTGCTATCGATTCGTAGACTGATCTATCATTGGTGCACCAAAACTCCCATTACTCTCAGCAAATGGGTAGTCCCTATACCATGATTGCTAACTTTCATTACTATGTGTTTCAGAGAGATTTGGAGCTTTTGTATATGCCTGTTTTTACTGATAAAGACGCTATCACTGAGGAGATGAATGAGTGCTTCAGATTGGCTGGTCTTGAGGAGATTTCTTACGAGCAACTCTCTCGTACTTGATTGTGTGAAATAAGATACTACTTGGGCATTTGCGTGATTGATATAACTTCGAACGTCTAATGGGACTTGATTGGCACGAACTCACCATGAATCTCTCACAACAGCATCTTGAGAAAATCATGGAAGAAAAAACACGCAAGCCTAATCAAGAAACGGATGAATAACACGAGACAAATTGAGCGTGCACCTTGAGACATTACTACAAAAAGAAGCAGTTTGCCAGATCATATCCAGACGGAGGTGAAGTGTATACGAGAGATAAGCACAGCGTGGGTAGATGAATCATAAAAGATAGCTATAACCAACAAGTTCCATTGCATAAGTAAAAGCCCACTGAAATCCTACACTAAACAGGAATATACCCACCAGCACCTACAGAAACGATCTAAATCACATCATCTCCATCATCTGATAAACAATAAATATAGAATCATCAATAACTGCTATGCTTATGAAAAATCCAGCAACCGGAATTGCCGAGCGAAAGCCTATGGTGGAATATCGCAGTGCAGTATCTATAGTAAAACTTGAGGAATGAGTTGCAGAGGTCCCGACATTTTGGTACGCTAGTAGCAGGGCTTAGAATACCCATAAAAATCCACTTTGTTGAGCTGTCTATGCATATATCTGCAAGAGTACAGTGTAAAGTGGGTTTATCGTTAAACGAAATTATCATGCTCATTCCCTCACGATTCAAAGACTAGAAAGTTTGTAAGGAATCCAGTATCTAGTATATCGTAACCTTATGAAGCTTTGCAGGAATTCTCTAGATGGCAGCTGGCTCTTGATTTGTATTGTTCTTTTTTGAGATATGCGTAAACTACGAATATTCAACTCAATTGAGATGTCGATCAACTTGAAAGATTAGTCTAGAAGATTAATTAGTTTTCATACTAACCATGTTCAAGACGCGATATATCAAGCTGACGAACGCACGAATCTAGAGTTGGCACTGTGGAAGATTTGAGACAGAGTAAGACCACTTCTCATTCGTTAACATGCATAAGTTCTGCAAACTTGCTGTAGTCAGCTATGATGTTATTATGAACCAGTTTAGACTTACGATTAAAGCGGGAGTGCGTATTCCTCCAACCGAGATAAGAATGCACTTAATGGTGCAATGCATTAGGGGAGACCAGGGAACAAATACTTGGTAACATTTACAGCTGTTGTGATGAGCGTCTGCCAAATTACAGCCAATCCTCGCCCTTATGTCTGCTTCACATCTTTGAGTATATCCTCTCCCACAGAATATCCTTAACATACAACTTCAACATCTTGAACCTTTTAACTCTCAAGCTCGACATTATCAGAACAACATTATCTACCTCCAATTGACCTAGCTGCTTCATAAAATGGCCACCAGCGAAGCCTCAGGCAAGAGCACATATGCTGTCGACATGGTCAAAAGGTTCTCCGAGTATGCGAATGGCAAAACCTGTATGCATTCATATTCATTCTCTATATGTCGATCTCCTCAAGTAATAGTCTAACAATCCATACAGTTCTTATCACCGGCCCGAGCGAAGAAGGTCTTGGTGCAGAAATAGCTCTCTCCATAGCCTCATCATCTAAACCTTCAATGATAATCCTCGCCGGTCGCGACAAGACGAGAATCATGTCCGTTATATTCCTCATCCGTAAAATGAATCCCGAAATCGATGTCGCCTGGATTCCATTAAATTTGCTCGATAATGAGTCTGTCCGTGCTGCGGCAGATGCTATCAAGAGACTGAAAATTGATAAAATACATTTTATAATCAACAATGCGGGAGTGATGGTCGTACGAGATTATACAACCTCGAAGCAGGGGATTGAGAGCCAATTCGCTGTGAACTACCTCGGTCACTTTTTACTGACCAATCTGTTGATAGATCGGATTCTTGCAGCGAGAGAAGAGGGGGCAATAATCGTTAATGTGGGAAGCTTGGGGTATGAATTGGGTGAGGTGAATCTTGATGATATTAACTTTGAGGTATGTCGACATGTATCTACCCATCTTGATAACCCTCAACTAAAATATCTCTGTCTTAGGAAGGGAAAACATACAATGCTTGGAAGGCGTTTGGACAATCGAAGACCGCAGTGCTACTCTGGAACACTGCCCTGGCCAAAAGACTGGCCAATAAAGGTGTTCCAACCCTTGTCGTACACCCAGGAAGTGAGTCATTTGCGATACAGTGGTGCAAGAAAAGAATGCTGACCATCTTCAAGCCACGCTAGAAACAAGGCTCCTCGAAAACTCCAGAGTTGACCAAGAGCTACTTGCAAAGGCGTACCATCTTGCCAGTGAAAGAAACGATGGTACGCAGCCTAACCAATATTCATCTCAATACCTGACATTACAACACAGGCAAACCTCTCCCGCCTCAGAATATGGTGACGAGGCAAGAAGCAGCTGGCGCCGTTATTCTTGCCGCGCTCGATCCCGGCTTCAGAGGTAAACTTCAGTATTAATCATCGACGCCTTTGCTGATTAAAGAATTTAGAGTCATCCCCAGCGTTTATCGTTAACAATAAATTATACACAAAAACTAGGAGCTATGCGATTAGCGAAGAATTTGCTGAAAAATTATGGAACTTGAGCGAAGAACTTGTCGGTGAGCGATTCGAGTTCTAGATAATAGCACAAAGGATCCGGAAGTGCTTGGATAAATAAAATGCACTAGCATAACGGAAAATGATCACACCAGGTATCGCAATCTTCTAGACATCAATTGAATTCAATAAAACACGAGCATGACTCTAGCTGGGGTCCAAAAGGATTCCGAACAATTAATCATACTTCCAACACTAATTTCACACCACTGACTCCTCCTTTCAACTGGTCTAATGCTTTGTTTGCAGATTCCAACCCTCCATCTACGACTCTGATACTTGGGCTTGGAATGATTTCACCCGTTTGCAGGTTTTCCTTCAGCCAAGTCCCATAGAGCCACTGAGACCATTCATCCCTTTCTGCATCATCTGATGGGGCGAAAACGAATTTGACATCAATATCTTCCACAGTTGGAGGTTCCATAACAACTGCTGTAGCTAATTTGGCGACACTGTCACCCTTTGAGGCCTTCAGGATGTCCAAGATGGGCTGCAGCGCACCAGCAGCATCATATGCCAAATTTATTGTAATCCCTTCCTCTTTTGCGGATTTGACAATTTCATCAACAACATTAATATCCTTGTAATCAAATACTTTTGAGGCTCCAAGTTTCTTGACGTAGTCATGATGATGTGGGCTAGCGGTGGCATATACAACATATCCCATCTTGGAAGCTTGTTGTACACCTACGCCTCCAATGCTGCTGCTTCCACCCCATATCAGCATGCCTTTCTTGTCTGCAGACGTGAGCTTTGTATCACGTGCTAGCCCCATAGTATACCAAGCAGCCATCGAGGTTTGCACAGCCATTGGAAGAATTGCTCCTTCGTTGAAGCTTATTCCATCAGGTAATGGACATACGCTTGAAGCTGGTACAAGAACTTTCTTCTGAAATGCTCCGTGGTCTGGATCGCCATGCGTGAAGAATGCCTGTGCAAAAGCTGTCACACGTGCTCCAACTTTTGGTGCAGCAGCTAGCACAGATGAACCAGCAGCAACGACGATACCAGAAATGTCTGAGCCAGGAATTGCGGGGTAGGAGGTAAGAGCGAAGCCATGGTCACGCATGTAATAATCGATTGGGTTACATGCAATAGAGTGGACTTCTATGAGGAGCTCTGTTGGACTTGGTGTAGGCGTTGGCCTATGAACTATTTTTAAAGGGCCTCCCTTCTCTGGTATAATAGCCGCAAGATGCTGTGACATTGTTGTTGAAGCCATTGTACGTAATATGGGAGACGTTTAAACTCTATCGTAAAAATGAATTTGTGGGAGGATGATATGTGAAAGCTTGAGATCGAGGTAGTGAGGTGAAGAGAAGGATGACTCCTGTCTTTATACCTACTCCCGAGTCCGAACTAATCGCATTCTCAACCCAATATACGCCATGGAGTTCCAAATGGCGGAGTTTTCATTATTCTTGATACCATGGTCTTAACAGCTAAAATCCGTTGACTATTGCCGTGGGATAACATTGTTGATGATGTTTAGGATTGAGACTTACCTCAATTCGTACTCGGGACGCTAACCTCATTTCGTATTCCATAAGTGGGTTAGATCGGCTATTGTGGGGTGATGATACTGATTACTGGTATATTATACGAAAGAGGGTTAGAATACACGTTGAAATATATTCTGACTCACCTCGCATTGCGCTTATTTATTAGTTACACTGAGTCTTATATGCATTGCCAAATCGAATTTTCAATCGCTAAGGTTAACAAAAAAGAAATGAAGCAGAGAGCTTGCCCGTTCCTTGGAACTTTGATCGTATCACGTGAATCTCCTTACGACATAAAATATTCCACGATCAGGATTCGTGATCCATACCGAATTTGTATCTTTGATATCTTGGAAGTGCGGTATGCATTCTGAAGCTCATACAATAGTCTCATCGACTTTATATTCGAGACCATTGATATCACGATCTTGGTGTACTCATTTTCCGCAGCACACGCCTCTACCTACTAATATCACAAGTAGGCTTATAAAGCATCTCAGGAAATAGAATAGAAAATTTAAGGCTCTCGAGCACAGCTTAGGATTCTCTATTATCATTGCACAGTCGCTCCACATTGCGATTCCTAAAGATTACGAAAAGCTACTGTCATCTCTGCTTGTGATAAACACTAAGTACACAGCATATCAAACTCGTAACCCGCAACTCACTCCTCGACCAGAAAAGAAACATTCAAAAACGTTTTGAAGGTTAGGCGAATTGAGTTGAATTGAGCAAATGCAAATGTGACAACCTTCATAATAGCAAACATGGACTAGTGATGAATTGAGAAAAAACTGGTAAAATAGGATACCTTGCGCATAAATAACTTCTACCTTGTATCCGTGTTCTATCTTCTCTCTAATCTTTCTACTCTCTAAACATGAAATGTATTAAACGTCGAAATAACCCCACCCAAGTTAACCAAACTCTATACCATATCCAATCAGGCGCATAACTCCAAATAAATTTCTGAGAACAATGGTCTATCCATAACAACAGGATTGGTACACTTGTAATGCAATTGGTTCAACTCCTCAATCGCATACCCTTCTTTTTCATCCCAAACACCGAGATCCTCCCCAGCAACCACATTTCGCGCGACCAAGCCCAACATATCTTCAATCAAATGGCCAAATGCAAAAACTTCCATTTTCTCAATTGCTTCTGAATGTTCATAATCTTTCTTGTAAATTGTTGCTGCGCCAAAATCCCCAATAAGGGCATGGCCTGACTTATCGATTAGGATATTATGCGCGTATAAATCTCCATGAGTGATACCTCTCTCATGGAGGTGCATGCTCGCAGATGCAATAGAGATTAAAATCGCGCGACACTTCTCAATTGAGAAGACAGTCTCCGGATGAAATGCATCGCGGGTGCAGCTGTCAAGAGTCGGCGGAAGACCCAGATTGGTATAATGAGGAGGAATGAGTTCTAGTACCAATCCTCTCTTTTCTGGATGACCATGAATTTTGCCGATTGGATCAATGAGATTTGGATGACGACCTGCGGCAATACATGCATTCATTTCGTCTGCCGGTACACCATCACTAGTCACTTCTCCTTTGAATAATTTGATAGCCACATCTTTTTGGGAAGTTGGTGATTTCCACACGCCCTTTGAAATTATACCCGAAGCTCCTTCTCCCAGAAGCTGATGAACTTCCAAGTCTGACCAAGCAATATCATCCAGTATCGGATTATCTCCATTTGATGGGGTGCAGGGGTTTCCAGAGAACGAAAGAAATGATAATTCGGGAAGACTAAGCAACCAAGTAGGTAATTGAGCGATGTTGTTAGCCGACAGTCTCAGTAAGCCCAGCTTCCTGCAGTGAGACATCTCATCAGGGAGAGTGGTTAGTCGATTCCCTGCGAGCATGCATTTTTGGAGTCTATGACATTGTCCAACACTCTTGGGTAGTGATTCAATCTTGTTATTGGTAAGGATCAACCACCGTAACTTGCGGGGAAAGGCTCCTTCAGGGACTGTGGTCATGCCATTGTTCTTGAAAGCAATCATTTCCAGAGAACGACATTGAGCCAATTCTTTGGGGAAGGTGGTGAATTGACAGTCGGAAAAGAAAGCAACCTTGAGTTTATGGAGTCGGTGGATATCTTTGGGAAGTCCGGAGAGAGGGTTGTTGGATAGATCAAGGATCTCCAGTGTATCATAGAGGTCCAATATCTCCCGGGGAAACTCCGTGAAGCCACATGATAACTTCAGGCGTTTTGTGCCTTTGTATTTCCCTGCTTTAAGATCCTCAAGAGATTGCATGATGAATCTGATCAATTGGGACAAATATTTGTAGTGAAAGAATGGCTCGCAATTGAGCGCACTGTGTCAAGGATGGGTTTCGCAAAAAGGTAGCAAGATGAAGGTCCCTCCAAGTATCCCTACTTTAGTTTCATGGAGAATGCATAATTTTGGCTGAATTATCATGAAATTCTAAATGACACGTAAAAAGACATGTAAAAAGGGAGGAAATAATAAATGTGATGAAAAGCAGATGCTGAAACCAGCTTCGGATCGGGTTGTTCCAGCTCCGAGTCACATGGAAAATAGTACTTTTCGTGGTAAAAATATGAGGCAAGAGCTTGAGCTTATAAGTGCAAAGGAAGCTATTGCTGTATAATCAAAATTTATTTGGCTTTAAATTTTAACAAAAATCCGGCCAAGAAATTATAGAAGCAGGTCTTCATCGAGGGGTCATTCGCCTCCACCTTCCCTCTCCGACCAAAATGAAGCCTGTTTCGCTTACAACTGCTTAAATTCGGAACCCCAACTTTCACGAAATCGAGTGCATGTTCAAGACCGACGCGACAACTTCTCAGCCCTCTAAATATTTTCTTTCTATCATTCGAGATCTTACCGCCGTAACCTCTTCTCGCCATGGCATCACAAACAATGAATTCGTCAATGCAACCGACTGATGTTTACGGAGGAGGTAATCTCTTTGCCGACCATCTTGATGCTCAATGAATATTTTACTAACAATATCAATTAGACGAAGTGTCAGCCATTGTCATTGATCCGGGATACTCAAGTATACGCGCCGGATTTGCAGGAGAAGATACCCCAAAATCATTCATCGACTCACATCACGGAGTTCGCGATGGAGAATCCTTTTACGGCGACAATGCGATCCATAATCCCAGCGCAAACCTCGAAATCCGCAACCCGATGAACAAAGATGGAATTGTTGAAGATTGGGATACTGCAGAACAATTGTGGAAATATGCTATTACTTCACGACTTACGAGTTTTAAGCAGGCGGACCCTAGAACAAATGGACTGAATGATAAGCCGGAGGAGATGGATGTTGATATGGATGCGGACGGCCAGGAGAAACCATTAGAAGAGCACCCTTTATTGATGACAGAGACCGCGTGGAACACGGCCAAGTCTCGAGAAAAGGCCATCGAAGTAGCTATGGAGTCCTGGGGTAGCCCTGCCTTTTGGCTCGCGCGAAACAGCGTCCTCGCAGCCTTTGGAGGTGGTAAAGCGACAGCATTAGTAGTCGACGTCGGAGCATCAAATGCATCAATTATCGCAGTGCACGATGGGCTTGTGCTCAAGAAATCTGTACAAAGATCTCCTCTAGCTGGCAACTGGGTATCCTCTCAAATCCGCGCTCAGTTCAATACCCAAGAAACCAAAGTCGATCTCACTCCACATTTTATGATCGCTTCTAAAACCCCTGTCGATGCTGGCGCCCCAGCCCAAGCTACCTACCGTAACTTTAAGATTCCTCCTACACCCAGTTTCCGCGCTTTGGAAGAGGAGCGTGTTCTAACAGAATTCAAAGAATCTGTTGTACAAGTGTGGGGCGGACCAAATCGGTTGAATGCTACCACTGGACCTGGAGTCACCAACGTGGATTATGCGAAACAACAACCTGGTCGTGTATTCGAGATGCCGGATGGCGCGAACCAAATGTGGGGTATAGAACGCTTCAACATTGCGGAAGGTATGTGGGACGAAAAGGCCGCATTACCTGTAGACAACGAGCCTGCTCCTACAAAAGCTCAGACTATTCCTGAAATGATTAAGGCTTCGATTGCAGCGGTTGATATGGATCTACGGTCGCATCTGTTGCAGAATATTATTGTCACAGGAGGTAGTACTTTACTTAACGGATTTACAGATCGTTTGAACAGCGAGCTGTCACTTCTCTACCCGGGCGCGAGAATCAAGTTGCAGGCTGCGGGTCTTACACAAGAGAGAAGATTTGGGGCATGGATTGGAGGGAGTATTTTGGGAAGTTTGGGAACATTCCATCAAATGTGGATCTCGAGGAAGGAGTACGAGGAATTTGGTGCGAGTATTGTGGAGAAGAGATGCAAATAAACAAACTTGCTATCCCCATGTCTATCGCAAAAAATAAAAGTTATGCATGAGATCTATGGTGGTAAGGAATGGAAGTGAAAGGTTGGAATTGGCCTGGCGTTTATGGAGTTTAAATTACGCGCTGAGATTAAGATATAATACCTTGGATTCTAGAATACCTAGTACGTGCACAATCAAGTTCATGGCAAAGCTATACATCTTTCTTCTATAATTTTTGGGTAACAACTGAGCTTTACCATCCTCTCCATCTGACCCAAACATCAATGATCTCATCCTCTTTTCCCTCGCGAGTCTCATCTACAATTAAATACCAGCCATATCCGGCTCCGGCGATGCATGCGTGGTTAGGCCAGATACGGACTTTTTGACCAATGGAGAGTTCCGAGTCATTTTTACCTGGGTTAGTCAAAATGCCGTGTTCTTGGGAGATGCGGGAGATTTGCCACTGTTTTCATTTTAGTATTTACCCCCATTGACTTTTTCCGGAGGAGGATGGTAAGAGCTTGGTTGAAATGAGAGAGATGGAAGGAGGAGATACATACGCCAGAATAACCTTCAGGACCTGTGTTGGGCAAAGCAAAAGAATCGCGGTTCCATGGTGAGACGATTCCCCAGCCGGAATAAGCCTTACACGGTTCGCGGCCAAGTGCGAGAGAACCGGCTGTGATGAGGGCTTCGGGAGAACCTGCCGCGCCTCGGGAAGGGTAGAGCGAGGTGATTTCTGCTAGCACTGTGATGGCTACGGAAGACCACTGTGCGCGTGTTAGTTCATGGTAGGGACAAAATAAGCAGGGATGAAAGCTTACGCTAAGTATTTCTTCAGGCAAGGCGTGGGTAGCTAATTGCTGCATGTCAAGCATTGGGTACACTCCAGCGTGAATTTCAATCTCACAGCCTACATCACGAATGGCTCTCATGGTAGCCTTTAGAGCTGAAATTTCATCCGATCCTTCAGAGGAAGTAGAAGGGAGGAGAAGGTTGCGAATGGCACTAGAAGTTGGAGTAGCCCCTACAGAAAGCGTGAGGGGAAATACAGTACCAGCTGCCGAGTGAACCTCTCCAGAGGTAATGAGGAGGGCTTCAAATTCTTGGCGAAGATAGTCGAGGGCTACGGTTTGAGAGTTTGAGGAATAGGAGTGTCCGGCATGCGAGTACAGTCCATGAAGGATACATGCATCGCGATTGGCCAAGGATATGACGGAGGCGATTAGTTGAGAGCAGATATCTGTACCGGGAATGACACCAGCTCTGTGGCCTCCCATGTCAATCTTGATGAAAATAAGAGGGGCTATGCTTGTCTTGGCATGAATGGCGGCGACAGAGCTAAGCTGGGATGGGTGATCAATCATGACGGATAGACCGTTAGGTCCAAGAGCTATGGAAACTCTTGATAATCGGTCGACTGCGCTTGAGGTGAGAGGAAAGCTATATAGTACCTAGTATGTGTAAGGATAACATTTATGTATGGGTGAGCGATGGTGAACTAACATTGACAGCTCTTCCCTTATTCTTGTATTCTAGGAGTAGAGGGACAATATTTTCTGCCTCTACTATCGTTGAAACGACGATGTTGACTGGTCCAGTTCCATCCCCGACTTGTAACCTCGTCAATTCGGTTGTCTTTCATTTTGGTCAGTGTAAATATTGAAAATGCGCTTATAAAGGTCCCAGTCAATGTTTGGTCCAAACACAAACAATAGTAATGGAATTCCAATAGGACACCGTCCTCTGGTCAACAGCAACACGACTGATGTGGATGAAGACGAGGTGAATGCAAGAGGCAAGAACTCTACAAAATATGTATACCTTATGGGTTTTGATATGGGCTCTCCAGCCGCATTGTAAAGACTCTACTGTCTCAAGCATAGCAGCACAATTCTTCTTCAACTTTGATATGTCAAGTACAACTGCAGGGCAAGGTACCTCATGTAGTGATTTACCCACATATTCCTTCACAAGTTCTTTCCTAGAAGCAGAAGGGAATAACGATGTAGAAGCCATCGTTGAATAGAGTATATGTGGACAATAAGAAAGATGAAGAAGTATAAGCACTATGATACCTTGTCGAGACTTCAAGATAGTAGAGAAATCATGATACCAAAATGTTTAGAAACGGAGCTGGCCGGTACTGCATTTCTTCGGATGTCATGGTGGGGTAGGAGCGGATAGAGTTCGTGTGACAGGATACGAGATCTTGCATCATTCATTCATGCAGGATGATAAACATGAGCTGTTATCATCACTGATATTATGAGCAATCCTTCCTTTTCATAGGACTCCTCTATCTTGTAAATGATTTGGAAATCTCATAATATTTGGAGATGCTGCATTGTGTTTGTATCGCATTTACAGATCTTTGATAGCTACCTAGTCTCGTTTCCCCGCAAAGTTGATAGGGTTCCATGATTAGTCCACCGGTCGCTTGCTTTATGCCAGCTACCTACTGTATTATAGATAAGATTACGCGCCAACTGTGCAGTTCCGAGATCATTAATTCGAAATTCCATTCCATTTCAACCTACAGCTATTTTATTACTTTCGATGAATTCGCCACGACAACCTTCCAAATAACTCCCAAACAACCTCCATATCCCGACTGGCATTTCTTCCGATAACCATCAATCTGCGCAAATATTACTTGTATGATCACGACCATCTCTGCGCAACATCACTCTTGAAAGTGATCGCAAGTCGCAAAGATGGCAGAATCCGATTCCAGACCCACCGAATTTACCCAGTTTACTGAGATAGACTGGAAGCGCCAGGATGAGGAAGATGAAAAGGCTATGAAAACTTTGTTGAGTGCCGAGAATTATGGGAAGGACGACAGCGATGGCCTTTTCGGTGATCGACCTTTGGAGGTGGGCGAGAAGGCAGATGATGCGCAGGATTTCGAGGATATCAGCGATGACGATTTACCAGAGGAGGAAGAAGCTTCTCTACCCAGCGCTGTCGATTTACCAGCTCTGACCGACGATGCTGGCACGAGCCACGACACCGATGATTTATTTGGAGAAGGCAGAGATTCTTCACCATTTGGCTTTGATGATCATGTTGAAATACAAGATGGAGAATCACAGGCTGCAGCAAATATAGTTGAGGAACCAGCGGGTCCGGCGGATGAGGAAGAAGATTTATTGGAGCTCAATTTTCCTGGTTACAATCAAGCTCGGTTGAACAACCAAGATCTTTCGATACCTGCTCCTGCAGAATCCGAAGGAGATTTAGCCAAACAGTTGTTTCCAAGTCTTGAACCTGGTGTTATATTGAACTTCAACGAATTATTACCTCCAAAACTCGCGCATTTCGTCCCAAAGGTCCCACTCAAGCCGCCTAAACCTCTAAACCCTACAAAAGTCAGCTTAGACCTCGCTCCCGACCAAGAAAAATCTTTTCGCAGCAATATAGGTACAGCGACAGGTGACAAGCGCAAACGTGTGGTTGAAGCGGAAGCTAAAGGGCTTGTTGCAATTGTTGAAGAATCTGCTGATGAGGTAGAGAATGAGGAAACTTTCGACTATGAAGAACCAGCGGAGGATGAGAGGCTTGGTGGACTTACTTGGGCGGATCTTCAGATGATTTGTGATGATTGGGACTCCAAAATAAATGCGACACCTGAAATTGTGCAACTGGAGCCTGTAGATGATCAGCCAATGGATGATTGGGATCGAGAGATTCTAGGACATTCCTCAAAACGGAGAAAGGTAGAGCAATCGGAGCCAGACTATTTCAACATTCCTCAATTCGCCGTCCCATCTTTCGACAACTTACAACAAGCTGTTACTATTTCTGCCAAGCGACCTTTCCTAGATCTTAATGATCCACATTTACTTCTAGAAGAGATCAAGGTGAACTTCTCATCCGCCGCCAAACGTCAACGCCTCGGTGGAAACTTCCGAGGAGGAAACAACATCATTTCTAAGAAACTGAGCAAGCGCTTCAATATTTCAAACGATGAAGCTTATGATGCTCTCAAGGAGAATCATCAAAGTAAAGTTAGAGCAGCTATTGGAAATCTTACCGTCGAGCATAGTCTTCCTGCATTACGCCTTCAATGGCCATATTATAAGGTCAAACTATACACCAAGGAAGCTAGAGCTTTACATCGACCAACCCTCAGATTCAATAAGTGGCTTAACCAACCCGTCACTTTTGACAAGCCAGGGATGCGAAAGAAGAAAGAAGCTAGAACGATGTCTATTGCAGAAGTATTTAAGGAATCCAAGGATCTAACATTGGGTGACTTCTATTCCGCCGCTACTCTAATTGAATACTCGGAGGAACAGCCCATAGTACTTTCAAATTTCGGCATGGGTAATCGGATCATCAATTATTACCGACGAAAGGATGCAGAAGATCAGGAGAGACCCACTCCAGAGGACAAAATTGGTGACACTACCATTCTCCTCCCAGAAGACAAATCCCCGTTTGCAAACTTCGGTTTCGTGGATCCAGGCGAAACCGTTCGAGCTTTGCACAATGAGATGTATCGTACTCCAATATTCAAGCATCAACCCAAGAATACCGATTTTCTCTGTGTTCGCAGTACCACGGGAGTTCATGGTACTACATGGCACCTTCGCAATATAGATAACCTATTCGTTGCAGGTCAACAATTCCCATCAATCAAAGTACCAACACCACACTCGAGGACGGTTACAAATGCTACCAAGAATCGAGTGAAGATGATTGCCTTCAGAAAAATCAGACGCAGTGCCTCAAAGTCTTTGAGAATAGCCGAACTTACTGCTCATATCCCTGATACGAATGATATGCAGAACAGGGCAAAATTGAAGGAAATACTTGTCTACGACAAAAATGAGAAAGTTTGGCGTCCAGAGGAAGGCACTACTATTCCCGATGAGGCGGCTTTGCGATCCTTAGTCAAGCCCGAGGATTGCTGCATGATCGATGCCATGCATGTTGGACTAAGGAACCTCGCAGATGCTGGTTATGATACCTTGAGTGAAAAAGAGGAAGGTGATGAAGGAACATTCATCGACCGACCTCTAGATTTCAAGCTTACTCCCTGGAACACAAGTAAAGCTTTCTTGGACGCAACTTCAGGTAAAGCAATGCTTGAACTTCATGGCGATGGTGATCCTTCTGGATGTGGGCTTGCAATCAGTATGATACAAACTTCCATGAAGGGAGGCTATATCGGTGCTGTCCAGGGTCCAAATGCTACATCCGCAGCCGCCATTGCTGCAGAGAGAAAGGCAAATGGTGGGCATACCTACAACGTCAAGAAACAAGACGAGCTTTACAATAACGCCATTCGTGATATTTGGGAGAAGCAAAAGTCAAATTTGTCAGATGCGAACGAACATGTGTCAAACGAACTGGAAGAAGTAGACGAGGACGAACGATTTGGAGTAGCACCCACTCCACACTCCATGCCCACTCCCGCACCTTACGATGATTCTTTCAGTCAAGTCAGCAGAGCCAGCAATATGGATAACGCCTCTGGCAAATTCATGCGTATTACTCGTAGGGTTAAAGTGGGCAATTACGGACAAACCGAGGAACGGGTCGAGACGGTCAAGGATATGCGTGTCTGGAGAGAATATATTAAGCGCAAAAAGATCATGGAAGCTGCTAATTCAGAGTAATTCTCACTAGATTGCTTTATTTCTTTTTCGCCTCTTCTTGGAGACGATAGCTAATAGTGTGTTTTTAGTGTTTATGCCATTACTCCTTCGGGTGATGCAGATCTTGATAGAGCTCATCGTGTTCAGTAAGTACTCCTTACCATCTGCCCTCCCCTTTCCGCTCTCTATCAGTGACAAAAGCCATAACTAACACGTTATCCACAGAGTCCAAAAAGAACTCGAGCGTCTCGAACGCAACCAAGATCGTCGCCACGCCCGTGAGAAGCAAAAGTCAAAACAATCCATGGCTGGTCAACAACTTCTTAACCCTGGTTCCCCTGGTCCATCCGGGGCCCCCGTTTCCAGCATTGAAAAGCCAGCTGGTACTACGAGGAAATGTGCAAATTGTGGTCAGACGGGCCACATTAAGACGAACAAAAAGTACTGTCCCCAATGCCAATTAATCAGCCCTTTTCTCTTTCCAGCTTAGGTTCTATCACAGCTACAGTTACGAAGTGTTCACACTGAGGCCGCTGTTTGTTCTTGCTCAAGGAGCCGACTTAACGGAAAATGATTTTCTCCTATAAATGGAAGTATCCAAGGATCCAATTAAATCTCATTCTTCTTCGCCATTTTTGCTTAATTTTGTAACCCTTTCACAAAGCATAAACCCAAAAAAAATCATTTGCTGACATACATTTTCCCTAACACTCAGACTCTGTCCTCTTTTGAATGGCACCATGAAGCCTGAAGATGGCGCGCTCAATCATGGCGGGTTTGGTGCTATTCAAGCCCCACCTTAGCTTTACGAAACACTGCGTTGACAGGCAGGCGATACACATCTTCTCCGCACTTGCCTTCCCACACACACATCGTGTGGCCTTTTCATTTTACAATACACGACATATACCCACGAGGAGTATTACGCAAAGCTGTCTGGTTTGCAAATTTACCTTTCCTCTCTTTCGATCCCCCTCGGTAAAAACTCCATAGCAACGGGTCCGATTGAATCATGTATGACATGGGACAAGGCCAATCAGAACCCCTTAACGCACAGTGACAGGAAGGATTTAAAACAAAATGGACCAAAAACAGTCTGTGTCATCGATATGAGAAGTGCCTTGAACGGAAAACGTCACGGAGAATTAGCTGGGATACCGACTAGGCTTTGTCGCTAAATCTAGGGTAATCCTATCATCTTGCGAAAGAAAATAATGCGAGGCATACTGCGTCTTACTTTTGGTATTGTTGGTATGATGTTGGTTTGAGGATCGCTTATACCGCGTCTCATTGCTGCTCGTCTAGCACGTCTTACTCGATCGGGGGAAAGAGCACGAAAGTTGACCTGATAGAAACCTTGGGGCCGGCGCTGATTTAGCAGGCAGGGAGATTAGTTTTACAATACGCATCAGTAGGCACACACGAGACACGATATAGTGTTCACCAGAAGGCGGTTTTCATATTTCATTTCTTTTTCAAGCTAATTTAGTCTTTCGGTAATTGGTGGACGTACAATGGTTGGTTTCTTTAACGTTTTAGTCCCCGATTACACACGCGGCTGGGTAATTATCGGCGTTAATTAAGGCTGGGTGTGGTTTGGGGGTCATGGAGTTTGGGAAAGGTGGTTGAACAAGTCTGATCTGCACAGCATGGCGTAATATGGGATGGAAAGGAAAATTGGCAAAGGAAGGCGTTCACATACGAGTCATGGAGTAGAGGACAATCCGAGTGTTTTCTCAAGGCTTACCTTACACACATCGATTGTCGCCGTGGCAATTACTTTCTGAGGTTCATGAGACATAGAAGTATAATTACATGTCATACAAAGAAAGAGCTGCAATTCTTCCTGTTTTTTAAAAATAAAAATGAGCACTTACCTATTTCTCATAAGTACCATGTTGTAGGTAGCTAAGATTTTGGGGAAATTCAAGAATGTGAAAGAGAGATTCTTATAATATTTATATACTATGTGTACTATGTATACTAGTACAGTAATAAGATCCTATATATCTAGTAAATGCTTCCTCTTTCATCTTATATTATCTCCCATTACAAAAGACGAAAAGATGTTTTTGAAAAAGTATATATGTATAATTATAATTATTCTGACTTGTCTTTTTCCTTATTTTTTTATACTTTTAATTACAAGATTCATATTGACTCCGGAGGACTTAGTTGGGTTTTTCATTGTTTCGTTTTGGGTTAGATTATGTGATTATTATATTATACTAGATTATATTATAATTGGAATCTTAAAGGTTGTATTTTGGAATTTGTGTTGCAGATGAATATATACTCTGTATATATATGTGTGTGTGTATTCGAGGAGGGGATTGGGGATGTAAGTGAGGGATTTAAAAATGGAAATTCAAAAATAAAACTTCTTCAGATTCTTGCAGTTACTGAAATACTTATTAGTTGTGTCATTGTCATTGCCATTCCCATTGCCATTATTATTGTATACATTAGTTAAGAAGGTAATCTTAGTTTGATGAATAAATGGACGGGTAGATGAGACGGGGGAATTTCGATTGTATTTGATGGAGTGGATTCGATCTGGTGGAAAGGATGGCTTACTTCTAGGTGTTGAATATATACTTTATACTACAAAATAAACGTCTAGATTAAAGAAGAAGAGGTAAGGTGAGATGAGGTGAGGTGAGGTAAGATATCATACATGTAATTAAGTTGAAGAAAGCTTTAATAATGTAGATCTTGAATCTTGAATCTTGAATCTTGAATCTTGAATCTTGATGATTATATCATAATTGATAAGGAATCGGGATATAGATTTGGATTTGAGTTTGAGTTTGAGTTTGAGTTTAGGGGTGTGCTTTTGTAATTTTGGTGAGTGTTTTGGGGTAATAATTAGTAGGTAGGTAGATGGGTGTTATTAGATGGATGTAGAATGATAGTGTTCAAGGAGAGAAGTATAGGGTTCGAGGGGAAGATCCACTCTATCTAAGCTAAGTCGAAGGGTATAGATATGTTATTCAATCCACTCTGTGACTTTTATGATTTTGAGAATTGCGATTAAGGAAAAGCAATCAAGTGCTAAAGCAGAATTTTCATAATATAAAATCAAATAGTAATACATACACACTAAACCCAATAACCATCAGATATAATTTTACGAGGTAATATTAATACCTACAAGTTGCGGAAACCGAGTGGTGTTGTATGTGTATGTGTATGTATATGTGGCGAGGAAAAGAGGAAGGTAAAGATTCATCTCCTGATTTGACATCAAATGCATATCTATCTTCTTTCAGGAGAAGGAAAAGGATAAAAATGGAAAGAGGGAAAATATATATAGTTGCCTTACTTTCCTTTTAATCAGATGAGAAGATGCGAGATCTGTATGAATGATGGGTGGTGATGGGTAATTGATTTGGGAAGATATTGTGGAAAGTATAGATTATATTTTAACGTTTGAGTGAGAGAAGAAATAAGACAGGTTCATGGATCTGGAGATGGTAATGGATGATACTCTTATAGCTAGTTGAGCTGAACCACACAATACAATTGATACCTTTACTCATTTAGAAGTAATACAAGAATTTCATCCGAGATGCCACTTCATCTTTTCACAAAGACTATTCTCTTCATCTAATGATGAAGAAATGACCCAAGGAAGTTTCATATCTACTAGAAAGAAGTACCAAAAAGCTCAAAAAGAGTAATATAATAATCACCTAATTACTCGAAGAATTTTCTCTTCAACAAGAGGCTGAGGAAAAAAAAATCATCGAATGAAAAAACCAAAAGCCTGCAAATTATGAATAAACATGAAACGGCGACAAAAAATAGAATCCTCGGATCCTTACATAATATTTTAGCTTTCGTATTGGTAAGATAATTAGTGGTAAGCTGGTGGAGGAAGGAGTTATTAATTTCGATATGGGGGAGGAGCAGTTTGTTTGGAATGTATGTGGAATTTTTTTAGATGTTAGATGGGTATGGTGATACCCTAAGCATCTACTTGCCTATAGTTGGGCAGGAAGAAAATAAATTCGGGAGTTTGATTTCTTTGAATTAGGATAGGTATAGAGGAGTAGAAGTACTTGATGTTTATGGAGCATTGTTGTCCTTGTTGAGAAGGAACATGAGATGAAAGGTGAGGCGATGATTTATCATACTGTTGAGGATCAAACGTAGTAAATAGGACGGAAGGGAAAATAGGAAATATGATAATACTCGCGCTGTTGTAGCACTTCCTACACAGTGTCGATGCATATACCCTGTAGATGAATGGGCGAACAAAGAAAGGGGTATGTGAAGCTTTCCATACATATGTTTGTGCTAATCAGCCACGCAAGAAATACTAACAGAATTGAGTATCCCGAACAGGATATCGAGAATAGATTTCTCCAGCTCATGGATACATCGAATACCTTAAATCGCGGATGACTGTTTAGAGATACTTTTACTTGATCCCTGGTAACAACTCCATTATCACAAAGAATATCAATTTACAAGCAAGAAAGGTATAGTATAATTTGTGTTCCTAACTCAAGGAGGTAGACAAGAACAACTCGGGAAACGTAATGAGACAAAAATAGACGCAGAGTAAGAAGTTCAAGCCAAAGCCATTAAGTGGCAGTTGATATGAGATTAGATGAGCTTGAATACCTCCCTCCCTCCCTATAATCTTTGTGGATGCCAAGAGAAGAGAAAATGACATCCCCATTCCTAGTAAGCTCAAAGAAAGAAATAACATAATCCAGATGTCGTGTTGTGCGTCTATGTAAGGTTACCATGCAGTCATGGATTGTGACAGGCAAAACAGAATAGACGACAAGGCGGCTCCACAGAATCAAGGCTGTTATCGGATATCCTAGTGATCCGTGTAAGTTGGCGCGCGGAAGATTCAAAATATGCGCGAGGTGCGGTCCGTTGAGTTTCTATTTTCTGATTACTCCTAGCTGTGCATGTCTGACATTGCTCTTTCTTTTCGACTGCAGTCTTCCGGAATAGTGGTCGAAATAGAAATATCTGTCAGCATTTCGTTTTTACTTGGTTTGTATAACATGGCTGTGAAATATTAATGTCTGATTTGTTCTTTGCACTGCCATTATATTGAAAGAAGAGATATAATACACTCAGCCATTATGAAGTTGTGATTCCTAGATTCGATGGGAGGTAACCCAGCCGACCAGTTAGTTTGAAGAATAGGCGCGCATCTGTGTGTTTGGGTGGTTCAAAAATCATTGATTGTTTTTTTTTGTCGTTGGAACTTTGGAACTTTGTGGCTTTTGATTTTTTTTTTTCGCAATTGGTAAGCATGGTTTGTGTTAAATTTAGATCATCTTGCATCAAACCTCGTTGTCCAAATGGCTCGGTGCACATTTCCCCAATTTGTACAACGAGCCACGAGCCACTTGCCGTACACGTGCATTGAACGGATTTTCAATCTCTTGGTGTTTGTTTTGATGATGATCAATTGCAATAGGAGAAAAAGGGAGTGAAACAATAAAAAGAATGTTTTAATTAGAAAAAATTAAGAATGTATGAAAATAGTCGTTTTAGGAATTTATTCGGGTCGTGAACGTTCCTTAACTTCGGTAAAATCATATCAAGTCTATTATGACTTTCTTCAACAGTATCTATTATAGATTTGATCCACTGATCCTACATAATGATTATCGTTAGTTCTTTAGCTAGTTGATCAAATCATCATTCCTGAATAATGCATTTACTTTGGAGATCGCCATTTGGTGGCCAGATATATCGATATCGTTGTCATCATTCGGATGCTGGCGAACATTGCCCATGGAGGAACCCCTTCCGGGGGATATCTGAATCCATGAATGTAACGTGATCATAACATGATAGGATTTTTGAAGGATAACAGTTGATCTTTGTTGGTCAAAGCTGTAAGGCCAATGTCGCGATTAGGGCGAAGGAAGTAGCTACTAGCTAGATAGGATCTTCAGAGTTACAAGATATGTCCCTTAATGTTACTTCCGATTAAGATTTAATATATTTTCGTATTGAATTTGGTCATTGCGCTCGCCCGTTGCTCTTTGATCAACTTGAAAATACTTCGTCGGTGGACATGATCCAGTTTCATCCCACCTCTCCAGATCGATCCCCCATTCTTGAATGTTAGTTCGGGTTGATGATGAATATCTGTCTCCATAATCATTGCCGGTTCTGGCGACCAAGAGAAGAGGTACCTTGCAGATTTGATCTGACTGGTAGATGCATGTAAGATTTCTGTCATCCTCCGGCAAGTATCGCTTTAAAGCTCCATATCATGTGGAGTAACTTGAGGTGATTTTGGCGGTATACAACGATGAAAATTTTAAGACTGGGACTGGGTGTGAGACTACATCAGGTCTGGAAGAGTGTTGGGAACTGAAAAGAAAGATGCCGTATATCCAAGACTCGGATTATCCTTTTTACCAGCCTCTCTCCATCAACCTCTCTCTCGCTTACATTTGAAATCCAGATGTGTTGCTGATGCAAACCCACAGCTGTATAGGAAGACTCTATAGAACGGTATCACTCAACTTACCGGCTGAAAGTTAACTTTTCGCTGCAATGAAACAAATCAGATTAGCCCTAGATAGAGTTGTGAATATCCGAGGTAATGTGAAGCTACTGCGAAGTTACTGTACGATTGAAGATCGACCGAGTCATACCAAAGATGTTACAAACGTTGTGTTGACGTACCCATGTAGATAGCATTTGAAGGATCAAATAGAATATTACGAACGTGCGACTGACATGCAAGCAAGTAACAAGCACCACAAGCTAAGCTGCAGTACCTGCATTCCCCGATGAATACAAGAATAGAAACCATCGATATCCAAATAGGGTTCTCCGCACAAAATGTCTGTATGCACGGAATAAGTACGGAGTAAATGTCAGGTGGATGGATGATGGACCGAGACTCTCAGATATTGGGTATTGTGGATATCTCTCTCCTGGGTAGAAATTCGCAATGAATGGAAAAAGGCCGAGTAGGAGCCACCAAAAAAGCATCCAGATCCACAGGGCACACGAAGAGATATCAATATCATTCAATCGAAATGCCCTGATCTGATGGATGCATCACCAGCAGATGCATATCCAAATGCTTTGGGTTCTTCTTACCCTGGCTTCTGGTTACCCTTTGGTGAGAAAAAAAGCCAGTGATATTCCCTCAATCAAGGCAATTTGCCCGGATTCTTTGTGAGATTAAATGAGCTGCATTAGGATCTATTTATGGACATTTTTTCATTGACGTTGTACCCTCCCTCATCCCTTGGCAACATTTTACATGCTGATTGATCTGATGTTTCCAGTGTGTCAGCATGTGAATCCTTGAAGAAGCATCAAGGATTAAGACGTCGTTTAGGGCTTGTTCAACCAGTCGGAATTTAGAGATGATGGAATGCTGTGCTTGCTCGGCCACTGATGACCAGCCTTGAATTTGGGAAAACATCGTATTTCATACATGTCTTCCGGGCGCTTAGGAAGGACTCGGTCGAGAGATGTATGGAAAAGCGACGGAGAGCTAAGCTCCCTTGTTCTTTTCCTACCGCATGATTCATATCGACAGGGTGGAAAGACGTTTGAACTTGGTTTGAAGGGACAAACGACTGCGACCACGAGTACCGTACATACAGTAGGTCCTAGGTAGGTATCCTTACGGCTCAGTCGTGGCTATCATGGTTGTACACGAAAGCAGAGCATGCCTCAGTTCTAAGTTGAATGAGGCTTGTCATATCTCAGGTCATCGATAATACTACAGCGTGGATGGATTGAGCTTTTGAAGGTTCTGGATAGTACTCGAGTAGGTAGCATGAGTTTCAAGGATCGAATAATTGGAATGAATCCCAATATTTGACATGGCCAGAGATAAAGGTATCCCAAGTTTCCTCTTTGGTTCTAGTATGATCTCTTTGTCGTGGGTATTATGTATTGGGTATTATACAGATAGTGTATCTACTACTTGCGGATTTTGCATGAAGGGGTTTAAAGGAGGGGGTTGGATGGTGATGATAGCTAGAGTGGTACTCGCACAACAAGATGGTCTCAATCATCGAAATAGGATGCATTAAGGGAAGGATTACTTTGAACAATATGATATCAAGTCATTATCAAGGACCCCAATAAGGTTTTTGAGGAATCCAACCCCTCATTGGCAAGGTACTAGGTAGGTAGGTATTGAGCATTGAGCATTGATCCCGAATCTAGCACGATCGACTATCAACCATCTGGACAAGCTTTGTAAGCTGAAGCAACAGGGCAAAATTGCAACTGTATCAAAGAGTTTAGAGTTTTCCGTACCCACATAAACTTCGCACACTTCTACCTCTTTTTAGAAAGTACAGTGCATCAAGTTATCGAAATCCACCCGGTAGACTAGACTCATTTTTACATGGCTGCAAAAATCGGCCACGCAGTAGTGAGCAGAGTATAGTATTTATGTACCTAGCAGGTAAATCGACTAGACTAGGTAAATTAAGGTAGGCGGGCCGTGAATCAATTCTCAGTGCACACGCTCGCTCCATGCGACGGAAAACATCAATACTCCGTTCCAGACAGACGCGGCATTGGGGGATGAGAGAATGGAGAATATTTAAGTAATAAATGAATAATGAATGAATGAAGATTATTTAAGTAATAAATGAATAATGAATACCTAATGATAATGGATAATGGATAATGAATCAAATCTCAGTAATATCTGCATTGGAGCAAATAACCATTTGATTTGTACTGACTGTATTGTACTGACTGTATTGTACTGTACCGTACCTAGGTACCCATAGTCATTTTATTTATTTTATTTTGCGTTTCCCCTTTCATAGGAGTGCCAGGTAGCTAGCTAACTGTATGTAACCGATTGATAAATACTAGGTAACTTGATGAGTTTAGGTAATGTTGACCACATTTACCAGAGTTCTCGCAGCAGAAAAGAGTCAATGGATGTATAGAGTACTCCGTTCTGAGTAAAGATTCAGGTTATTAAACCTAGAGAAGTCAGAGGTAAAAAGTAAGTCTTACCGAAAGTAGAGAGAAATCAAAGCAACATAAGACAAGAAAGGGAAATACAAACCCCCTTCTCATTCACTTCCCCCCCTTGTCAATACCCCCAAACAATTGTGCACTTTTTTATCCTTCCTCTTTAAGATTAGATTGAAATCTCATTAAAGAAAGAAAAAAAAAAGACAGAAAGAAACAAATCAAACAAAAAACCCCCCGTTCTCCTCTCCGATTTTGAATTGGTACCACACCACAAGATTTTCCCCCTTCCACTCCGTCACGATCCAAAAATAGCTATAATTAGCACATCTCATCGCGATATACTTTATCAGTCCTATCAGTTGTGCTTCGTGAGAGATTCTCGAGAAAGGAAGTAAGAAAAGACGGTACCTGGTACTTTTATTAAATTCTTTTGGAAAAGCTTATATCATTGATCGAACTCCTCTCTTGAAATCACAAATTTCACTCTCTCAAGTCAATTTTCCATTTTAAAAGGTGTTTTTTTCCTTGCACGGGTTGGTTGTATCACTATTTGATTACGGGTTGTTTCGAGTTTTCCTCACGCATTTTCATATTGCCTGGAGCAGAGCAGAGCAAAGCAGAGCAAAGCAGAGCAAAGCAAAGCAAGCAAAGCAAAAATCACAATCAGTTCAACTTTTTATCCATCTCGTCATCTCATCCGTCTATCAACACGAACAAACCTCGGTCGCAACCTTATTGACCACCTCCTTCACCAATTTGTTATCTACTCCTTTAACTACAATTTTATATAACGACATCTATCGGCTTCAACCAAGTACATCTAACTATCATCCCACATCAGACATATTGCTCCGCCACTATTCAAACAATCGATTACTGTACTTGCTTGTGTTCCTCAATATCGCCGCCATTGTACTATAATTTCATACTAAACTTTTTGTTCCTTTGTCAAAGAATTTATTCATTGATGTCCACGATTCTACGCGATCTTACATACAACTCAACGAGTTCGACTGCAATAGTGCCTCTTTGATTACACGTCTGAAACTGGACCAATTCACGCAACCAGTATTTAAACCACAAGAACGGCGCGCCGCTGCCGCAATGGGGAGAAGAAAGATTGAGATCAAAGCTATCAAGGATGATAGGAATCGTTCAGTGTACGTTCTCTTTGTGCGAATATAATCTGCGGCGCAAAATACTAATCTCACTCTCACAGGACCTTCTTGAAGCGCAAAGGAGGATTATTCAAGAAGGCGCATGAGCTTTCCGTTCTCTGCTCCGTCGATGTCGCGGTTATTATATTTGGTAGTAATAAGAAGTTATACGAATATTCTAGTAGTGACATTGGAGAGATCATGACAAGATATCAATACGTACGTGTTTTACCGCGTGTGGCGCAAGAGATACAAACTGACATTAATTACAGTATGGAGGAGCCAACGAACACAAAGGACCTAGCGATTACGGCAAAGGAAAGGGCATGGATGACGATGACGATGATGATGACGGATCCCCTCCTTCTCATCACGGATCAGAACCACCGCAGATGATGCCTCCTCAATTCCAACACCAACCATATCAGCATATTCGCCATCATACTCCATCCGCCTCTCCTCCAATTCCAAATGGTGTCTTTCAACATCTCCCACAACAACGACAACATACACCACAACCCGGAATGGGATCTCGACCATCGTCTAGAAACGCTCCACGAAGACAAAGCTCCCTGGTACCACAGCATCCTCATGGCCCTCCGACCAACGGTCAATTTGCATATGCGCCGAATCAACCACCTTACAACCCCCAAATGACACCCGGTCTGCCACCACATTCTCATGGCCTTCCCCAGCATATACAAGGTCCGCCTCAAGGAATTCCCCATCCACACCAAAGTCCCGGACCACAATACGCACATTTTGCACCCCCGCATCACCCCCAACATCATCCTCAACACCACCCTCATTCCCAACCACATATGCAACAGCATCCGCAACATCCTCAGCAACACCCACAACAGCATCTTCAACAGCATCCGCAGCAGCATCCTCAAAAAATCCCGCAACAACATCCCCATCCGCAACAAGTACAGCAACTATATGTGGAGGAACAAAGAAGATCCTCTGTACCACCGGCATTCCCACCACAAGAAAGACCCGCATCTTCGCGCGCAACTCCTTCCCCTCCGCAGCCGCAGCAACAGCAAATGCCGCAACCTCCACCACCACCACCACAACCACAGCAGCCTCAACCATCGCCAGAACAGCAACAAACACAACCTTCACAACAAATGCTCGAGCCAGCCAAGCGCTCATCAGTAAAATCCAGAAGTATCTTTACGCCAATTGATGAGAGTCGATCAATTCTCTCCCAACACTGGGCAAGCTCAACTTCCAATACCGATGCAGTAAAGGAAGAACCGGGAGATCGATCTCAGTCTGTGGACGTTACAATAAATCGTGTTAAACCACCTTCACCACCTCAAAGATCACAAACGCATAACAAAAATCGTAACATATCCATGTCATCCTTACCAGATGGATTTACCCCACCATCCCGTACAAACAGTGCACAGCTAAGTGTAGGTGGTGGCAAGAGGCCTATATTGAAGGTGCAAATTCCAGAAGAAGCATCAGATAATGGTGGATCTGCCACTGCGGAAGATCTCTCATCCCCACGATCGGCGGGTGCCACTAACCAAAAGGCACGTCGCAATGGCGGCGACCATGGCGGAATGGTACTTCCACCACCTTCACCTTCCGCCTCGGCTTTGTTGTCAGCCGGTGCATCGGGACCACCAAATCCTTTCGCACGACCACATCCCGTCACACAACCTTCGCAGGGATCCAATGCGAGTGGAAATAACAATAATTCGAACAACAATATAATAGAAAGCGTGACACCAGTCTCAGCTCTTCCGTCGCGTTTCATGAATAATGAATTCCTCCCAAGCCCTTCATCGTTCTATCCCGAGTGGAATTATGGGAGAGGCGGTGATTCTAATACATTACCTAGTCCTCTAAATTTTGCAACGCCTGTTGTGGGAACAGGCCCAAGTTTCCTACGAGACGATAATGGCGATAGGGGTGGTAAAAGAAAGACACCCGAACAAGATGAGAACCGGGATGGGGGAGATCAGAAAAGATTGAAGCATGAAGGATAAAGTGCACCTCATGTTTCTCGTCATCAAGTCGAGGGTTTTGAGCATGAATTGCTATGAATATGAGATTCACGAACACGTGTATTTGATTGCGGGAAAGCTAAAAAGAGATAATGTCTTCCTTGTGGGTGGATCAGAACTCGTTTTAAACCCTTTGGAAAAAATTTATTGCATCACATTTGGGAAGGGCGTTCTACTTTTTTTTTTCTTCTGAAGATGAATTGGAGGTACACTTTTATTCGTTTCATTTTTTTATTGTACTTTTGGCTTTTACTTATTCCCCATTCGAAGATTCTATCGTTCTCTGTCCACCCTGCACTCTTTTTTCCTGCAATCCTCTCCATTGTTCTATTTGGAAGGCTGGGAGGCTTCCAGTAATCACTTGTGAATACAATGTGAAGTTTGAGTTTTGCCTTTGATTACGTGAGATGGGTTTGGATGGCAGGCCATGCATTTTACTCCTTTGTAAATACCCTTGGGATTTGTGGAGGGGGCGTTATCCATGTGACTTTTTTTTTCTGTTTTTGCTTTGTTGATTTGAGTTTAGGTCTGAGTGGTTTGGGATGAAGAGTTTTGTGGTGGGAGTTGAACGGGAAGGGCTTTACATGGATGAGTGAGAGTGGATGATGTATGAGTCGTTGGTAGATAAGTAAGATAGTTGAAAATAAAGTGTAGGGAGGAGAGAATGAAAATACAATTGATTAAATAACATAATGAGTTTTACTACCTGTGTACTCTTTCCTTTTTTTACTCTGCAGTAATTCATGTTCTCCTTGGAATGAATGAGGCTAGTACCTCGAATCACTATGACATGACTGGGGGAATGAAAGTATAAGATAATCTTGAATTTCAGTGTATCAATCTTCTTGATATTGGTAGTTGATAGAATGATAATTATGGAGATAGAATAGGTAGCTAGTGACTTAAGCATCTCCTCCTACCCTCCTGTTCCCCTGCTCTTTTGCTCTTTTGCTGTGGCCTATCTGGCTATTTCCCTGTTCTATTTTTTATTGCATTTCTGGAGTGATTGATTCGCTCTAGTTCGTATGAATCAAATAGGTAGTTAAAGTAGATGTTATTCCTCATACCGCGGCGTACGCAAGTGTGCTTAAATCTCTTGATTCGAATCTTTTGAGGATGGGACTGTATTTTTAAATTTAGGGGTGAGAAATTTTTAGAAGGGTATAGTTTGTTTGTTTGTTTTTAAATTATTTATTTGTGAAGAGAAGAAGGAAAGAGGGGATTTATTTGTGCGGAGGGAAACAACCTTTTTTTGGTTCTTTTCTCCTTTGTTGTGGAAGTTTAAGTTTGTTGGTTACAGGTGATCAAAATTTAGTGCACAATAGTTTGTCGGTTTGAGAGGATGAATCTGAAAAGACTGAGAGACAGGTATAACATTCTACTGCTTGAAAATTCAAGTATTTTCGGATGAAACCATATTTTCATCTTCATCTTTGCTTCAATCCCTGCACCTTTTAAATGGTGCCGTTTAGAAACACTGTTCTAAGTGGAACAAATAGTCCTGCCAATATCACGCTCTATGTACGATGATTACTATATGGCGAGAAAAAAAAAAAATCTAATCCACGATGAGTAACTATCAAATGGATACAGATACAAGCTTATCATTTTTGGATTTTCAAATATGCCTACATTTTATCAAACGCCATGCCAAAGACTAAACTAAATTGTGTAGCCCTGCACGAATTCCCATAAAAGAATCATCAAAATAGCCAAATTAGATCAAACGCACAGTCAACCCAGTTCCAGCATCAATAATCAAGCCCGTCCCGGTAATAAAGCTCGCAGCTGGACTACAAAGAAATTGTATAGCATCAGCAACCTCATCCGCTTGAGCCATTCTCTTTAATGGAACAACTGCCTGGACAATCTGCTCCAAGTGAGGATTAACTTGAGCTTCCCGTTCCGTCATTGCTCCCTCAACCCAAATGGGACAAACTGCATTAACGCGTATTCCCTGTTTAGAATAATCAACAGCTACATAAAGATACAGCAATTAGCACTAGAAACCTAACAATAAGAATATCCAACTTACCCGCCGTTTTCGTAATCCCGATCACCGCATGTTTAGCAGTAGTATACGAAGTTTTCCCCGGTGTAGCAGCATACGAATTCGCAGATCCTAAATTCACAATACACCCGCGACCAAGCGAGCGCGTTGTATATCGTCCTTGAAACGCGCGTGGTTCTTGAATCAACATTGCTTGTAATACGGCTCGGTTGCAAAGTACTGTTCCCCTCATGTTGATATTAAGCACATTGTCGAATTCACTGAGTGGAAGTTCTGCCATTCCTGTCATGACCGTAGTACCAATCTAGAAGGAGTCTTGGTTAGTTATCATAAACTGTCGCTTTTTCCGGGTGGGGTGGGGAGGGAAAATTACTTACTCCTGCACTATTGATATTGTAATCAATACGACCGAATTCTTTAATTGCAGTATCGACCATATTTTGTACGCTCTCCTCATCGGTAATATCGACATGAATAGAAATACCGCGGTATGCGGGATTGGAAGCATATTTCTTGCTCTGAATGGCAGATTCTTCGGCTCCTTTCTCGTTTATGTCTGCGAATAGGATGCCTGTGGCGCCGGATTCGGCAAGGGAGAAAGCGCTGTTTTTACCTATGCCGCTGGCTGCCTGGTTTGTTGGTTGGAAGGATAGAGAGTGGGGTTTATGGGGTTTTAAGAACTTACTCCGGTGATGAGGGCGAATCCGTTGGTGGTTTTGGAATTCATGGGGAGGATTGTGAGGATGGTTTTGGGTGTGGTGGTATTATTACTAGAGATTAGATGGAGGGAGGGGTTGGTTCTATTTGAGGTAATTGAAGATCTGAAGATGTGAAGGGCTTTCTGAGATTATTTGGAATCTGGAAGGTTTGATAGATGGATGAGATGTGAGGGAGGGATAGGGATTGTTATATATATTTGGCAAAAGTGGGCTTTCCCTCGAGGATTAGCAAATGGGAAAAGAACCAAATCTATTTCGGGATTGGATAATGGACGAGGGGTGAATGCAGGGAGGATAGAGGATGGATGGATAGTCGATACCAACTGGGTGGGTCAATGGCTTGCAGGCTTCTCAGAAGTACGTCTCTCGGGATACTTCCCCTATGACGTGGTATATCATTCACAAAGCTTATCGTAATATTCTTCTACCTCTATTTCTGAGTGCTAAAGGTAAATAGATACTCCTGAGTAGGGTGGGCTCTTCTTTTACTTGTTTTTGCTGTTTCTTTAGATGTATAGATATACAGATAAATGGGCTGGGTGGAATTTGTAATTATGATAAGGAGGTAGCAATTTCATTATATCGCTTTCGCTTTTTCTATCTTATGTCATTGTCATTGTCTCTAGGACTTCAAAATTCAGGGTAAAGTCTGAGTAGCTGATGAGAATACTAGCGGAAGGGGAAAGGGATGGGTTCGAAATGCCCTTAGGTATAAGTTTTGTGGGGCTTGAGGGGAATAACACAGAGGAGTGATATCTGTATGTATACGAGTTTAGCCAACTACTGCATAGGTAGTATGATTTCTGCGTACACTTGTGTATGTATATGTAAGATCTTAGCTATGTAACAATATCTAGATGTTAGATATGGATGCGGCACCGTGACAAATAGTGGGGTTTCGCGCGGCACAGCGCGGCGTGTGCGGCGCGGTTATGGGGCTGCGTGCAGGTTGTGCTGGGTTTACTGGTTGCTGTGGTAGGATGCGGGATGTTAGATGCAATCGATGATAGGAAAAGTAAGGGATTAAAAAAATAATAGTAAGTAGATTACCGCTTGAGTGGATTGTAATTGCGCATGCAGATGATTCGGTTGAAACTTGAGTTTGTTGGTATAGCTAGCTGGTTTGATTTCGCATCCCTAAGAAAGCAAAAAGTACGTACATGAAGTACATTTCTTAAATATTGATCTTCACCGAAGGAAAAGTAGGGCTAAATTCGATCAAAAATTCAGAATGATATTTCCTGGAAGTACTTCAAAATATACTTCAATTTTATAAATTTCAAGTACTTTTTTGAAGAATAATTTTGAATTAAAATCATCAATTCTAAACTAAAATTATTAATTTTGAGTTAAAATCATCAATATGTTACGTCGGACAGTAACATAGGTCACGTTCTTGATCACATGATCAAGAAACCGACAAATCGAGATCGGCTTTGCGGTGATCGATTTGTCGGGCTCATGGCCATCGGTTTTTTTAACGAGGCACGAAGGTCTATATAATCAAGATGGATTTCCTTTGTATAGAGCTTCGTGCTCAAGATCAATCAATTAGTATACTCTACTATTAGTTACGAATAGCATACCATTATTGTCATTACTTAAGTCCCTGCTTGACGCCTAGTTATAAATCACCTCGAGAGCCTAGAGCACTTCCACGTGATCTAGATGGCTAACCTCGTAACACTGAGGAGCCAGAAAGCTCCTGGGGGCTCCCTTTATCGATCATTATATAGTCAGAATAGTTTAATAGTTTAGGAGCTTCGTGCTCAACTTAGTTATCAATTAGTTTACCTATATTCTACTTGATCTAGTAACGAATTCACTTCCAAGTGAATACCAGTGATAAAGCCTTAACCTACAACTACCAACCAGACGAAACCTCAGGCAGCCGCTGCCTCCAGTACAGTATCGTTACATTATATATAAATGTAAAAATCTTGAAAAATTTAAATAATTTTTCAATAAAAACTATTAAAATAAAATTATAAATCTTTTGAAAATCTTCAAATTAAATAGAATATAATAGATTAGAATTTTGAATTTTAAATTATATAGAAAATCTGTTAAAGTGAATGGTTCCTGCGTAGCACGTGCACAGGGCACTAGTCCTATTAGGACTAGATTGAGAAGCTCTCTGTAGGAGAGCTTCGCACTTCCGTAGAACTAAGATAATGGGTGATTCATATAAAAGGCCAATATAGCCTCAGTTCTGCCCTATCAGCTTCCCACTATTCCCTGTGTAAGTGTTACGAGGTTTGCCGTCTAGATCACGTGGAAGTGCTCTAGGCTCTCGAAGTAGGTTTATAACTAGGCGTCAAGCAGGGACTTGAAGTAATGACAATAATGATATGCAATTCGTAACTAATAGTAGAGTATACTAAATGATTGATCTTGAGCACGAAGCTCTATACAAAAGAAATCCATCTTGATTATATAGTCCTTCGTGCCTATGGTTAACTAGGAATCGTCGTTCCTGGGAACGAGCGTTCCTGGTTGTTCCTAGGAACGTTCGTTCCTCACCGTTCCATCACATGTTTTATGGTCATGTGACATACTAATCGTTTTGGACGTAACAGTAAGGTCATTCCTTTTAACAGAGTAGATGATTAGATGTAAGTGGGGCGAAAATTACGGAGCCAACGTAGTATGAGCTTTGATCCCTATATGATGATGAATCTGGATGAAATTAGATCTCAGTGGAGCATCATGAATTGAATCGATTGGTTCTTACACGGTCTGGGCCCTCGACTGATTGGGACCACGGTGGACTGAAGATCCGATAAAAAAGACCTTTCCATCTCCTTTATTTGCTTGTACGTACTCAATTGAAGCTCTTGGTTTCAGTTTGTGTGTTGTTCATCTCATCCCATCTCAGTCCTTCCTCTGTTCTCTTCTCTTAATAATTACACTTTCTTTGTGTCATTTTATCTAGAGTCCTGTGATTATATATCCTGTCGTTTACTTCTAATACCGAGTACTACAGTTGTGTCCGAAAAGCTATTCAAATCCAGTCCATTGACCTCATCTCAACTTCCTCAATAAAATCAAAAACGACCTGATCCTTTCCACTACCGCACCTTTTCAATGGTTCACGCACGTACTTTCTCCCGCCAGTTAGGCAATTCGCTCCCTACGCACAACCAACCTCAAATTCCACCTCAAATCATCATCACGGACTCGGAAGATCCACACAAGCCCATATACTATAAGACTTCGCAGTGGAAGAACTCCTTCCTTAATTCCGTCCAATCCTCACACATCAAGACTACTACCTCCTTCCGAAATGTTCTCACGAAAATCAACAAGTTACCTCCCAGGTCCAAAATACTACTCGGTCTCGTCTGCCTTCTTTCTCTGGTATCGCTTATCGGGATAGTGGGTGGAGTTCGTCCAGACATCTTGAAGGAAGGACATCGATCTCCATATACACGAACACATTACGTTACGCATAATAAGGGTCCGAAGTTCAATCACAATAGAGATAAGGCGGTGAAAAGAGAGGAGGCTCCAGTGCCAATACCAGTACCAGCTGAGGAGAAAGTTAAGAGGGATGAAGCGCCGGCGATTGGGCTTACACCAAGGAAATTTATTCCAAGGCAGTTTGAGAACGAAGCGGATGTACCGGTATTGTGAACTGACGAAGTTGGATGATGAAGAGTATGTTACTTCATGGCCGTGGAAATATGGAGATGCGGGTGGAAGTTTCTAAGGAATCCTACTGACATTTGAGAATTAGTGCGACGACGTGTGCCACCGGCCTTTTTCTTTTATAATGGATGCCAATAATGTGGAATTGAGTTTGTAGCAGCGAGCATGTGGATAAGAATTAATGAGGAATACGTCGGAATTCGAAACGAAGGAAGTGATACATATACCAGGTCGGAAAGAAATGCTAGAAAAGCATTTGGATATGAATTAATGCAGTAGAAACTAGTGAATCCGCTAGCAAAATAGGATATCAAATAATGTAATCTTGAAGATCTAGACATATTAGCTATAAACATGGGCACTATGTACCTTTGGATCGGTGTCTCAGGAACGACGTTATCTGGGCGGACTTTAAGGAGTCCGCTACCTAACCTGCTGGATTGTGCGTATTGGAGAATGTCGTTTCCTTACTAATCATATAATTTATTATATGCCGGGAAAAGTTTCCCAATACCATTTCGTCAACCAGCTTCCAAAGTTCCGAGGTCTCTTCTCCCTTCTTACATTGTGCCTTCTAGATTCCATTCCAACGCGTTACCTTTATCCGACCGCTTTCATATACTCTTTCTCGCCATGCCGAGTCACGAACGATGAGCGCTCAAAATTTGTCCCAGAACTTATCAAGTTAGCCATCTCTAAGGTCTCACGGTGTTTATTCCCACCGCTTTATCTTCACGTTTGATTTCGGGGAGTTGAGCACCTCAAGCTCTATTTTCCCACCTAAGTTAATATATGTAGATTTTGACTTATTGTCAGATCTTGAAATGAGTTCCTTGCTCTGTCAAATAGATGATGAGTTGGATATAGGTTTGAGTTTTCAGGTGAATATTTTCGCGGATTCTGTATAGGTATGGTACCTGATCTTTGTGTACCGGAGCTGGATTTTGCTGAGTCTTGACTCACATATATTTTGGAGAGATATGGCTTGGATTTGGGGTGCAAATGTTAGAAGTATTCTTATCTTCAACTCCTTCGATGTCGATGGACTTGAAATTGCCATGGATTTCGATAACATGGGGCTTCCTATACAAGACCATCTTTCATGGTTTTTCTTCATGTTAGCTGAAGCTTAAAGAACTCGAGTTAATCTTACTTTTGGTGTGGCAGTTACTGTCTTGTTTGTATATTACGTATACTATTAACTGGTTTTCAGTTATGCTAATCAAGTGATTCCTCATCAAGGTGGTTATAGAAGAAAGACTGCAAGCCGCACCTTTCTTTCGCAAAGGCAGCAATGAGCATTTTGCGTTTGCTACTTCTGAAATCCTCTATCATGTATGTTTTTCTACTCTAGAATATTGTTGTGTTGGGCGCAAGAAACCAAGTTATAAATGTATCAGGGAATTGATAGTTCATATCCACAAGATGCTCAAAGAAGCAGAGGAAACACTCATGTAATTCGAGTTTACTTGATAATGAAGCGGCAGACGCTATTCTTCTATTACAAGTGTATGGCTCTAGCATTGGCTTTCGACTTTTTTTTATTTTGATTTCAAGCTGGGCTGTGAAGTTTGGCAATGTTTGATGGTTGTGTTAGTTTCTTTTCAAACCAAGTAACTACTTGCTGACTCGTGAGTAAACACGGTCGGGTGAGAAAGAGATGAAAATAAATGCGTCACATATACATCCAAAGCGGTATCAAATGAGAGTGGTAGATTGTTTTTATCAGATTGACTTTTGGGCCTCTGGTCCGTTCGGTTGAACTAAACAACGTGACAGAATGAACAAGGCTATTGATACACATAGAAATATTACATTAGATTGCTGCGAAACAGAAAAGCTCGTTTCTCGCTGTAGCTTTTGAATTGTTCATTTTCCTCCTTCAACCTTCATCCGGTGTGCACCCATTTTCTCCATTTCTTACATCTGCCAACCAGTTCTTTACTACTCTTCTCTCAACTACCACCGCGTTCCCATCTCCTCTCCGCCTTCACCACTAAGGCTTCTCAATCCCGAAATCCCCTCCAACAGAACCGCCCACCAGAGTTACCTGTCTATTCTTTACTCTCCACGAGCTCGGACTTCCATCATAAGATCCAGTATCCACCCATTGATCTTCATATTTAAACCATGCGGAGAATATATGCTGCGCTGTTTTGTCCGCATTTGTGTCGAAATGGTTGAAAGTATAACTTTTGTACTCCGTTAGTGCGTGTATCACCTTACTGGAACCACCGCTGAGAGAATAGAAGAAAAGAGTAATACATACTAACTCATAACATGCGCTTCGCCACCGTTTCCAGGATTGATCAAAATAGCACTGCTGGTTATTTGATGAATACCATGTGCCACTGCCCCCAAAGCTTTTTGTTCATTTACGATAATCTCATTTCTTCCCGTCCCTTTGAATAATTGTTAGTTGATTTTGTTCTTCTGCTCTTTTTCTGCTTTCATCTCCTTCAATTCTCTCACTAAATCTATCTTGTCCGCCATAACCACTGCGGCTCCAAATTTTTATCTCGAAGCAAGCACGAAAAGCTCCAAGCAAACAGAAAAAAAACATACAAACACCAGCCCCCAAACTGCTGAAATTCGCAACCGCATCAGTCGTATAGATCAAACTCAACGCAGTCCAATTCTTGGAATCAAGCAAAAAAGTTTCAAAAGCGAGTGTGTAGCGGATTTGTTCGAGAGGTGAATAACTGTTTGATACTGAAGGAGGAGAGGTATAGCTTGGAGGAGTATAGCTTGGAGAGAATGGGGACCAGGAGAAGACTCCTGGGAGAAGAAATAGAGGGATGAGAAGTGGGATGCGGAATGCGATGTACATTTTGATGATGTTGTATGGTATTTGATGCAGTGGCGATGTGCGATCGAAATCGATAATTGGGAGTGAGGTAAAACAGAAAGGAGGTGATTAGAAATTGGAATTGGAATTGATAAGATGACGGGGAAGAAATGATAAAGAAAGTATTAAGCTTAATGCTAAGACAGTAATTTCCGGAGATTATCTCGCAAAATATATATTTTGGTACGCTGTTGCACAGATGATGATAATCACCGTGCTACTTCTGCCGTCTCCCGGACCAATTGAGCTGGTGCTTTAGCTACCTAGCTCGCGTTACCCCAAAGAGGTCCGGGAATTTGGCTTCCTCAGCCGCATCATTCTGCTATGTTCTTATCTGATCGTAATAATCGAATTTCATATAAAATTCATTGTTCTGGACAACTATCTCTGTTATCGCATGTAGCACTCAAGATCGTAACTCTCAAGTAAGATCTTACCAGGGACCTGTGCTCCCGGACCGCTGGCTTTTTGATATATTTAAATTTTATATTTCAAAAGTTTATTTTAAATTTAAAGTTAATATTATATTATAGCACAAAGAGCATGCTAGCTTCAAGTCATTATTTAAATTATTATTATTATTATATTTCAAGTTTGATTTGAAATAAAAATAAAGATAAATAATTAATTAATTATTATTATTCAAATTGTGATTGTTTAAAATTAAAATACCAAAAATTTTATTCTTTGAATTTTTAATTATCAAACTTTTTATTATTCAATTATTAATTATTGTGACGGAAACCCCTGCTTTTCTCCCACCCTTATTATATAGGAAATCTCAGGTATATTAACCATGTTTACATATGATACGATTACTCGGGATTAGTATACGATTTAGGTGGTTTGAGGATCAGATCCGAACAAGTATTATGTATCAATGGTTATCGGTAAAATAAGATTATTGAAAGGATAAATATAATTTCTTTTTGTCTAGCTATTGCGGCTAAATTATTCATTTGTTTATATATAGAGTAGCTATCCTTATCTACAGGTGCTCTTCACCTGTAGATTCTAAGTTAAATACAATTGTGTTACGAGGTTTGCCGTCTAGATCACGTGGAAGTGCTCTAGGCTCTCGAGGTGGTTTATAACTAGGCGTCAAGCAGGGACTTAAAGTAATAACAGTAGTGCAATTCGTAACTAATAGTAGAGTATACTAAATGATTGATCTTGAGCACGAAGCTCTACAAATGAAAACCTATCCCTTATATAGAACTTCATATTCTACTGTATTCTTTTGGATCCCTTGGATCTACTGGATCTAGAGTTTAATTATCTAGATCCCCTAGATCCCTTAGATCCATCACGTGATTTCAATCAGAACATATGTCTGTGCTTGCTGAAGGTGGGGAGACTCTACGAACCGATTACCATACAATTTTGTATGTGAATCGGTTTGCTTTTCCACGGGGTCTGATGTGACGCCTCACACCTCCGGGTCACGTGGCATGCCCCGTTTGTATTTAATCACAGGAAAACTCTCTACTCTTGTTTTCCTTCTTCTTTTCTCCTTAGCTTAGTATTTTCTAATACAAGATACTTTACCCAGTATTCTTGAGTGTGACAGGGAGGAAAGCAGGGGTTTCCGTCACAATTAATCTTATATAATTCAAGTTAAATTATTTATAAAAATTAAATTTTTATTTTATAGTATGAATTATATAACTTTAAAAGCCCAACTCTAAACTACTTACTTTTGTTTTCATTAGTATAATTAAAATCTTTTTCTTTTTGAGCTAAGAATATAAATAGATATCTACTTAATTTGAAGTCAGTGTTTTCTTTACCGCTAACCCGGCAGAAATCCCGACAACCTTACCGAATGAATCTGTTTACTGAACCTCTATAGCTTCCGTAGCGGATTCAGCACTAGATTCCCGATACACTGCGTATGTATAAATATATATATATCTGTGTTCGCAGCTTTTGTTATACAGCTAGTTTATTTTATAAGTAGAAAAGCGTACTAGCTAATTATGGATTAGTGCTCCATCTCTCTCAAGTTCATTCAATTCATTCATGTTAGAGTAGCAGGGCGAAACTCCATCCTGTTCGGATATAGAGGCTTTTCCAAAGGAACCGCCTATGAGCTTCACTCAAAGTCTCTATTTACTTAAACCTAAAAAGATCGCAAACTAACCGTTAGTCAATGAGTAAACCTTACAGAATTAGAGGCGCTGTGAAAATTCATCATATGATAGACTATTATTAGCAAAGGATATTATCTTCAAAGGGACAAAGGAAGTCTTATTGTATCTTATTCAGGTACTTAAAATAACAAACACTAATCAGAATCATTTAAAGGGACAACGATTTCTTTTAGTTTATTCAATCTAGATCGATCCACAAACAGACCTACTCAGAACAAACAGTTGGAAAAACAACAAAAGCAATACTTATTAGCAGCGAATATTCTGCACTTCAATCTAGCGTTTCCCATCTCACTCATCATTTTTAAACCTCATTATGATCTGCAAACTTTCGTTACAAGAAAAAAATAAGCATATCACTACACAACTTATCAGCAATGGCATCGGTTTTAAAATGGGCAAGAGCAGCTACCAGAAGAGCACCATCACTTCTACTTATCTTCCCTACGAAAGGGTTTGAATTGATCGACGACGCCCTGCTACTTGACGAAGAAGAATTTGAGGGTTTCGAAAAAGGGCTGTACTATCCTGTGAATATTGGCGATGTTTTTGCGTCTAAATATCAAGTTGTTGAAAGCTTGGCTACGGCGTGACCTCCATAGTTTGGTTAGCTCGTGATCTCCAGTACGTCTTTTGTATCACATTCATATATCCATATACTAACAAATTAGAGAGCATAAACATGTCTCTCTGAAAGTTTACATCCGTGATGTAGACCCACAGGAAGAATTTCAGATCTATCAACGTCTAAGCACAGGAAACAAGTACCATCCTGGATATCGCCATATTAGAACAGCCCTGGGAATATTTACGATACCCCGTGAAGGCGGTGATCATGCCTGTCTTGTTCAAAACCCAATGTGGGAGAGCTTCAAATACACCTGTTATCGCCTTCCTGGCGGCTGTTTCACAGAGAAAATCCTGAAAGGTACAATGCAACGGCTGTTTGCGGCTTTGGATTACTTGCATACTGAATGTCAACTTGTTCATACCGGTACGGAAAACTCATTTCCCCTTCTTATTTTGTACAACAAATTGAAAGATATTAATCACATCTTACAGACATCAAGCCAGATAACATGATGACTGATATCGAGGACAATTCAATCCTTGATGCCTTTATAGAAGCAGAACTAGAATGTCCCTCACCTCGCAAATTAATCAACAGTGTGACTGTATATGCTTCACGAATGTTTGACGTCCCAAAAAGGTCCGGCGATACGGCTTTGAGCGATTTTGGCTCAGCAGTTCGAGGTGATGAAAAAAGGAATCATGGAGCAGGAGCTCAAGTTTATAGGGTTAGTATAAATCTAACTTCATTGCATGCCAACGTCTTCCAACCCTGGAAATATATACTAATTTACCGATAGGCACCTGAAGTCATGATTAAAGCTGCTTGGAGTTATCCCGTTGATATCTGGAATGTAGGTGTGATGATTTGGGATTTATTTGAGGGCAAACATATGTTCTATGGTCAAGATTCCGATGGGGAGGGTTATTCTACCCGTGCCCATCTAGCGGAGGTTATCGGAATGTTGGGCCCCCCGCCTTTGGATTTCCTTGAAAGAGGGGTACGAGTTTCAGAGTTCTTTGACAAAGAAGGTGCGTAACTTCAAAATAAAGTTCTGCTTGAAGGCAAAAGCTAAATTCGTGATTGTATAGGTAAATGGATAGCTGAGATGCATATTGTGGAAGATCTAGAATTGGAGAAAACCGAGCTACGTCTTCAGGGTAGGAACAAGGAGGTGTTTTTGAATTTCATGCGTGGTATGCTTCAGTGGCGCCCGGAAGACAGAAAAACGGCTAAGCAATTGGCTGATGACCCCTGGATCAATGAAATAATAATTTCAGATTAAATTGAAGGTTATGGGGGACGAGAGCCGCCAGATCTTGAAGTACTGGCAAATCGGGTATGGCTAGGGCTATACACATTTCCGCTACGACGCTTGCTAAAATGGTATCTCTGTAAATAGAATAATGAAAGTCTGCCGTCAACGGTATTAAATTATTTTAAACTAAACTGGCAAAATTACAAGCTCTATCTCAAGGTGGCAAAGAATTTATTTTCTTTGATCTGAAGATCTCACGAAATGTGAACCGAAACATAAGACTATGACTGCTTTGTGATAACTAAATTGCACACAAAGGAAGACAAAAAAGTATTGGCCGTAAACACATCGAATGCTAGCATAGTTTCCAGTCCCAGCAACCACTAGCAAAAAATTCTGCGGCGGGTTAGGAAGATAATAATTACAGACTTCTTTCTATTGATATCCTGAGACTAGTCTGAAAGCAAAATGGGGATTAAAACTTTCTCTGTCTTTTGTACACATCATACGGTTTCAATGGACTAGTTCTAAAGTCTCTGTGGCCTATTTCCATGGTATTATTAAATGAGTTCTCCGCATTTCTGACAGCTACCCTCGTATACAGTGATTGTCCAGGTTCTAATGGTAATGCAATGCAAAAAAAATGCCTACGTAAAACAAATGACCTCAGTCAGTCCAACTAAAGTAGAACTACCCAATCTACAAGCGCTCGAAACCGAATCCGTTGAATCTATCCTTGTAGATTCGAAAGTAAAAGAGACTGAGCACACGCGCATATTACTTTTAAGCCGTCTTTGTCATGATGAAAGTAATATAAACAGTAGTGGGGTCCACAACCCGGCACGCAGGATGAATATGGGGATGAAAAACGTAAGGAAGAGAGCGTAGGAGACTTGGTTGATGTTATTGATGTTATTGATGTCACGCTTGAGGATCTACTTGCGAATATTGCGGGAAAAGTGCTCGTCAAACTAATTTTCGATGAAGAGGGGATTGAAGTGGTAGAAGCTCTATTTGATGATCCTGTGAGAGAGTAGCTCGTTTAGGTAAGCCTCAATGCAGATGGGGAGACGGACGAGGATGATTTCATCGAACTTGAATGAAGGGAATTAGTATTGTCTTTTAGAATATTTGCTGAAAGGTGAAAGGTGATTTGTGAGTTCTTTGCTTTCGTTAAGGAGAGCGCGTGATTAGAGATTGCTTACTTCTCGAAGAAGAAGAGCTTCTGGCTGACGTTGTTGCATATACCTTTTCAATATTAGCGGTTCTAGCTCTAGGCGTTAGTATTAAGCTGGCATTGTTAACATCAAGATGTACTAACCGATTATGTTGATGGCCATTAGGAATACGCTGGACTAGGGCAGGCACCTATCATTGAAGGAACTCCATCGGTACCCGAAGTAATAGGTACAGTATTTGTACCGCAATTTGCACGTTGTGCGATGTGAACACTTGAGTTATCCTGGTCAAATGCCACATAAGCACCTCTCACGCAGGTATCCTAAAATACATTGGTGTTTTCAGCAGCATCGGCGATAGGCCGGTAGCATGTAGCACCATTGGACCAAATGAACTGAGCCAATTGAACTCAGATAATTGTACCCCCGAATCCGAAATCCATCGTTCCCGGAACATTTTTGAAGCTGCAAGGAATGGTATAAAGACCACCTCCTCTGCTAACCCATCCGGGGAAAAATGGGAGCATGGTGTTAACAAGGGAGGTGTAGGTAACTCAGCGTACTTCCAGAGTTGACGATGACTGGTTTTGCATAGACAAGAGAGGTAAAGTTCATAGGTAGCTCGCCCAGAAATGTAACTCCAAAGTATGTCATGTTAATCCAATATATAACAGGATGTTGCTCAGCAAGACCATCCACTATGTAGGATATAATCATAGAATTACTTACCTTAGATATTCATCAGGACTTTGGTAGAATGGTATAGTGGATTTTTGGTCAATGAGCCATGATATTTTTTGGTATCAAGACCGCCCAAAGTAATTGAACATATAAGATGAGTCAACTGTTTAAAATAATTCAAAAGGCACTGACTATTATGCCCGAAGCAGTATCTACATTACCCAACTCTATGGGAAACGCGCGGGTTTTTATTAGACCTTGTAGCGCAAGTTGTAATAACCGGTTCCAAGTCCAGGTCTCCAGGTTACACCCACTATGCGAGCAAACATTCGAGTACTAGCTGATGCAACACGGAATTGTAGCTTTTCGATAGTCTGACTCGATCCCATCCTAATGGTTCTTGTCGGTAAAAACCCCTTGAGAAAGCGGAATGTTTTCTTACGCGAGATGGTCCGTCGCAAAAGCTCTCGTAATGGCACCGGTTCCATACCTCAAATTCGGAGCTTGACTCAATGGTACAAATGACGTAGATTTTGTCGGATTGTACCGAGAACAAATGCCACAAAATGATGCCCATCCCCGAGGTAGAGCACTACGAATTCACCCAAACGTCACTACTTCCTGTATCGAGACTGAGGCATATAGTCTGCGGAGGATATCCAATTTGCGCTGCTTATGATCTAATGTAAGAAATGTGCTTGAATGAACGTACCAGTGATCATGTAAATATCACCAATGTAAGTATTGGCCAGATTTGACTTGGATTGTCTTTTTCGAACATTTGTGACTCCTTCAACTTTTGTCAGTCCCAATTGAAAAAAGCCATCAGCAACCATTCGTTTTCAGGATCATTGTCAATATCGAAGAATGCCGTTACTACCCCAGCCAGAAGAAGCAACCATATAATCGCAAACATCGTGGAACCAGCGGCCCAAGGAGAGTCAAATCGTCAAACTAAATTGTCCGACAATGTTTCACTGTCCTGACATTCTCCGCCATTAAAAGCCTCATACCTGAGTTCACCGCCCGAACTAAACGCCAACTCGAGACATTGATCTTTGGGATTGTAGTAATGAAAAAGCCGTTAGCACTATGTTTACAGTATTGGTATATACATAGTTGTAATTACACAAACTTTTCTACGTAATCGCGAAAGAGATGCGGCTAGGCCTCCCCATGTCGGTATTAAGGAATGGTGATAACCTTCGAATGTGGCTCGAAAATCAAGAATTTCATGAACGTCTCAAAATTCAGAAACTCCTACTAAGGCAAAAATCTGTAAAAATTTCCAGTCTGCAACATTTCTATTGAAGATCTCAACACCGCGATACTAGAAGGTCGATATCAGGAATAGAAGCTTGACTAAGCCTTCATGATGTATATTTTGATATTCTTTGGAACATAAGAGAGAGTGATAATCACCAGCTTAACCATCCGCATCCGCGGAGAAATCTCAGTTCAGCACTGCCATCATAATTTAAGAAAATTGAAGATTCTTCCAAGAGCAGTAAGCGCACTTCTGGGAAATAACTCAACACTCGTTGATGTATCTCGTACTCAAGGGAAGGACCCTTCAAAGAATCGAAATGCAGAGTTAAAGATGTCATGCAGCCGCCCATCCGATTAGCAATGATGTTCCTGGACTGAAAAATCCATCACGTGCGAGAGCCGCGAGCAATTTCAAAATAGGCTTAGCTTAGAAATGCAGACTCCGCTTCTCGCTTAGTGACTAGCGCCAATCACCGATTCGGCTACAAAAAACAAAAATTTGCGCAACAATTTTCCTTTCCTCTTCATCAAAAAGTATCAGAGCCAGCCACGACCTCCACCTCGACTTCGAAACAGTGGTGTGTTGCCAGCACTCTTAACTGAGTGTGAGGCTCTGTAGAGGAAGCATATCCTTAATAGGAAGTTCGTTTTCCGTGTGTCTTCTTAATTGAGGGCGAGGGGATCTGAATGTCGAAAGAGAGGAGACAATTCAATAAGATATTGCCATGACTTTGTTGAGATGGAATGCAAATCTTGTCATTTCAAGAGATTTTAAATCTAAGACATGTGCTGGGCGGCGATTCAAGAGCGCCAACATGTTTCGGACGTGATAATTACGTGCATTTGGTTCATCCATATTGTAAATACATTCTTCAACTGATCTAGTTTTATTTATAATTGCCTAGCTGTATATTAGTTCATCACCATTCTTGAAGTCCTGGCTATGTTTGGATATGCTTGATAATTCCTGGTGGCCAATCCATACTTATACTTCTTGACTGCACCTGCTCTTGCTTTGTCTCATACCTTCTGTGTCCCATGCCTACACCTATTGTTCAGCCCGGAAACCAGATCTCTACTCTCAGCTATGAATAACAATTGATACGGACTTCAGGCACAATGTTGGTCGCTCATAGTTTATGCTCTCAGGTGTATGATGGTTTGTGAAGGCTCAGATTCTGGAAAAATAGGGAGTAAGGGAACTCGGAGACAACTTAATCATGGCCAGCAATCATATGGGAAAGTCGCAGGTTTGCGTGCCTGTTTACTCTGCGCGCTGTTGACCTTCCTTGATGTAATCACAAAGGATTGTGGAAATGGCGCGGAGCATGTCGAATTAAAGCTTAACTAAACAGCCTGTAAGTGACATAAGCTTTCGCCCCCCAAGTTCGACGTTCGTCTTCCTGGCTTGCATGTTGCTACTCCCCGACCTACCAACCCGCTTCCTTTTGGTGCAAAAAGTGCACAATCAATTCAAGTCATAGAAAAATCATAGACATTCGATGTAAGGGGAACACATCTCTTGCAATTGCTGAAATACTTAAATCTCAATGCTAATTGCGGACGTCCTTCCTTCATGAATTAAAGATCCACCCCATAATGGCTCATGTAATCAACCCAGATTCATGATGGAACCTTGCCACCCCCATACCATTTTTGCGCCAAATATCCCCTGCCTCTCCAAACGCCCGAAACCTTAACCGCAGATATTTATATACACTGCCTCATTTGTCGGCAGCTACATCTCCACTGACCATCTTGCGTAGCTCAAACTCCTTAGTAAACTCGCGGCTGAACACCTCAAGTTCAGATACCAAATTACGGCAACAGGCGACAAGAGCTTCCTTGGGAGTGATTTCACCATCGGTTTGAATGCGAAGCTCGAATTTGGAAAAGAGGGGATGGGGGACTATGCGCCTCCCGTTAGTATATAATCTTGGGGAAGTCTTGGTAATCGTTATTATGGAGCTGTGTGCTAGGAAAGAGCGCACTTTTGTAACCGGAGAATATAACGTGCGGATCTTTCAATAAATGAGCACGTAGCATATTGGCAAGGGTATGATCTTCCTTGTTAAAGGTAAAGATTGAAGAGTTGGGAGTACCTGCGTAACAACTTATCAGTACAATAACTCTGCATGTAAATCCATATGCGCAATTTATCTACAACTTACGGGTATCGGCCTCCTCAGTACACTTCTTCTCGCCATCTCCAAGGATAAATAACTCGAATCTATTGAGCGAGATTTAGCTTCCATCCTCCAGTATAGCGCGGGGCGCATGTATATATAGAAGCTCTGGGGTAAATCATGTACCTCTCAGGCGCGTTAGACATGCTTGCTAAATCTGCTCTACTATCTCTGAAAGTCATGATTGCTTTAGTAATTGTTCTTTTCGATAATTTTCCTTTGTCTGCTTTGACACTTCTGCTGGAGATGCGATGAGACAGGAAAGAACTTACAATATATTCAAAGATATGAGTGCTCGTCTGAAGTTTAAAGCTGTTCAATTGGGATAAATAAAATAATTAAGAAAGACGGCAAGAGCTTAGAAACAGTATGAAGCTCGGAACGTGATTATGGTGGTTGATAATTGGCAATGACAGTGAAGATGTGAACTGGTGAAGCTTCTCTTTTGGCGAGAAAGATGATGCCAAGGCTTACTGAAGCTAATACAAATTAGGTATAGTGTTAAGTCATGGAAGCAGCTCGACCGAGGTTACCAGCCTTTCTGCTCTCAGCCTCATCAACATTGTTGTTGTAAATTATTCTGAATGTATACTACATCACGTCGCACAACCGTACATATAAACCATATTACGGTGACTTTTGTATCAGTTTATAATTCCTGTGAGGCAGCACACTCATAGCTTGGAAGATATCTCCAGCATAGCACTTGCTTTTGTTGTTGTTGCTGCTGCTGTTGTTGTTTGTTGTGTTGTGTATGAAGTTCATATAGATATCCTCTGTTTTCCAGCTTCAGACCCATCCAGCTTCTTTATTTCATCCTCGAACACCAAGAATTACAGTAAACACCAATCATCTTGTCGATCTCCTAACAAGGGGGAACCTTAATTATATCGAATAATGTCGCCTTCCAACCACAAACAAACGCTCCGTAAGGACTATCCATGGACAACTTATCCGCTTATATCATCTGCTCCTATGCGCTTAATATCAAAACCTGCCTTAGCTTTAGCTGTTTCTAGAGCTGGTGGTTTAGGTTTTCTTGCTGCTGGTACCGAGTGAGCTAACCCTATTTCATTATCTCCATTTTTTTGTCGCCCAATTGCTGCTTTTCGTGGAGGGCATTTCATAAGTGTGGAGTTTGTCCATAAAGTCGAGCTCAGCGAGCGGAGAGTCGTTTAACGCATAGCATGCTCCATTCTTATGACGATCATAAACCTTTGATATTTTATTTAACTGGCGTTGACGTTGAACCAATAATGACCACTGGTTTGTCGTTCGTTCGAAATACCTGTTATTCTTTAAAATTCGTGCTCTTTTCTATCCTCATATCAACTTAAGCTGCGTTGGACAGAATATTATATGCAATCAAACTAACAATACAAACCATTCAGCCTCTCCACCCTTTCGGATGAAATCAGAGAGATTCAGGATTCTCTCAGAGACGAGCCTATTCCCGGCAGTTATCGAGATACTCTCCCCATAGGAATAGGTTTCATAGTCTGGGGCTGCGATCTCGAGCACGTTCTGTCGATTCTTGCTCCGCTCCCCTTGCCACCTTCAGCAGTATGGCTGTTCGCACCAAATACTGGCTCAGACTTGCAAGAATGGACGGAATCGATCCGGAAGCTCACGGGCAATCTCACTAAGATATGGATTCAAGTTGGTAGCGTCGCGTCTGCAATATCAGCTGCTCACTATTGTGATCCCGATGTTCTCGTTATTCAGGGTTCCGATGCCGGCGGTCACGGCCTCGCTCATTCCTCCTCGATCGTCTCCCTGCTTCCCGAATGTACATCTGCATTACGCTCAAGCGAATACTCCCACATACCTCTTATCGGCGCCGGCGGAATCGTCGAGTCACGTGGAGCTGCTGCCGCATTTATGTTAGGCGCTAGTGGGATATGTATGGGTACACGATTTTTAGCTTCTTCGGAGGCAGTGATTCCCACGGGCTACAGAAACGCGATCTTGGCAGCACAGGATGGTGGTATATCAACCACGAGAACAACACTCTATGACAAATTGAGAGGAACAGCAGGCTGGCCAGAAGAATACAATGGGAGGGCAGTGGTTAACAGGAGTTTCTGGGATGAAATGAATGGTATGAGCATTGAGCAGAACAGAGAACTTTATGAAGCAGAAGCGAAGAAAGGAGACGAGGGGTACGGAAACAAAGGACGACTGTGTACATACGCAGGCAGTGGGGTTGGTTTAGTCCGAGAGACTATGGATGCTAGAGATATTGTGATGGAGGTGAGGGAGGGAATGAGGAAACTGATTAGAGAAGGATCAAGTCGCTTGTAAAGTACGGCAGATATCACGAGTTCAAAATACCCTATAATCTGATACTCCGAGGGTCTGGATGGAAAACAGAGAATGGGCGCGGGTTCCCGTCTCATGCAGGCTTATGATTTTCTTGTGGATACACACTTTTGTGATTGGGTGGCTTTTTGTATTTATGAATTTTCCCTATTTAAAAAAACAATCTCTTTATCGATTTTTATATCTACCAAACTAATTTTCTACTGCCAAAATGACTACAGATTAAAAAAAGTAGCTGAAACAGAGGCGTGAAAAGAAGAGTTGAGGCAAGCGAAAGTGTAAGTCAGAAGTCGAGTAATGGAACATAGAGATGGAAGTGAATACTCTATGTATTCCAATAATCCGTTACATTTGCTCTCTCAGACGTGTTCTTTCTCCAGATTTCTATCGTCTAATCTTTATACATGATTCGTTTATGGCTTTCTTTTCCCTGTGTTTACCCTTTTGGCTGGGGGCTCTACTCCCTCTTCCTCCTCCTCCTCCTCTTCTTCGTCTTCGGCTTCGGGTTCCATTTCGGGTTCCACATCTTCCTCCTCTTCTTCGGCTGCTGCTTGGTCAGCTTCTTCTATTGCTTGATCAACATCTGCCACAGTCTTATCAGCACCTCCCAACCCATCATCCACATCATCATCTATATGCGCTGCAACCTCCCTCTCATCAATCGCATCCTCAACCGCATACAACTCAGCCCTCAACCTCGCCATCTCACTCTTTATCCTGATCCTCTCCGCCTGCAACGCAATATCATTCAAGCTCCTCACAAATCTCAATCTCGAGCGTCTCGTCGGTCCATATGCCCCAGCTGCAGGAGCAGGAATCATCACCGCTGCCGGAATTACTGCCGGCCCTGGAGCCCCCGCCGCTCCCCCAAACCCACTACCCACTGGCCCAACCAAGAGTGGCGCAATACGTCGCGGCCCCCCTCGACCTCCACCCCGCGGAATATTCGCTGGAGCTTGCCCGCCCTGAGGCGGTACGAATCCCATAGCTCCAGGAGCCCCCACACCACCCATACCACCGAGTTGACCACCAAAATTAACAGCAGGTGCCATGCCTGGTACAATTGGAGCTGGCTGAACCCCAGCTTGAAGATGTGCTACTGCATTTTCATGATCTATGATTACGCGAATTAGTCCTACCTTCCATTTATCCTTGCAATCTTAAATCTTCAATCTTCAATCTATTAAGAAAATATATACATACCATGTCTCAACGTACATCTACTTCCCGTCCCCCCATAATAGCAGTTCGTACAAGCTTCCTTCAAACGGCCTGGCACGACCACACAAGCGGTAAAGGGCCCGTTACCCTTGGCACAATTACGACACGCGGGGTTTTGTAACTCGCCGACTTGGGTTGCTAACCATGCTTCTTCGTTTGGGACGCGACGGGGTCCAACTAGTAGGACACGATTGGGACGCATGATTGTGTGGCGGAGAATGGGGAGGGCGGAGAGAGTAGTCATGGAAGCTGTGACTTTGGTTGCGGGGGCACCGTTGATTACTGGTTGGGTTAGTGGTAATTTTTAAATTTAAAGGAGGATATGGAGCCGGATTTTAAAGGCATGTGAAGGAAGATAAAACACGGATTTGGATATTGGGGATTGCAGTTTAACAATATGAAACTAGAAAATCAAACTCTACTCACAGGTTCCTGCAGGCGAACCCAAAGGGAGTGGAGGAGGAGGGGCACCAGCCATGATGATTTACTTATACGAAAAACAGGACTTTCTTTTTTAAGTGTGTTTGGAGATACGTATGAAGATCTTTATAAAGCGTAATGAGTGAGTATAGGAAAACATGGAAATCACTTGAATTTACGAGCAATATATATAAGCTGAAAATAATAGTGCTCTTCCTTTGTCATCAGCGGGAAAGCACTAATTTTTGATATCTCTTCGAAACTTTTTATAAGAAAGGGATTCAAGGACTGGAGCATTGTGAGATTGGTTCTTTGAGGAAAAGCTGCAAATGGCTAATGAAATCTTAGGTGAAAGGGAGGCAATGTGTTTAAAGATACGTATGAGTATCTCTATAGAGTATAACGAGTGAGTATAGAAAGATATAAATATCTCTTGAATGTATAAGCGATGTATATAATCTAAAGGAAACAATGCTATATCTTTATATTTAACGAGAACTTTTGTCTTCGATATTTTTTCAGAACTCTTTATAGGGGAAGGGGCTCAAGAATTAGAGCATTGTGAGACTGTTCTTTGTGCAAGACCGCAAATGGCTAGTGAGATCCTAAGTGACAGGAGGGCAGTGTGGAAATCTGCTTCTTAAATGGGCGTCAACTAGCTGCAGAATTCATGTAGAGACATGAAGACTAGCGTGTGAGGTAACAAGCAGCTGGTACGCGTTTTGAAAAACATTCATTGCTAACGTAGGGTTGAGAATGAATGAAAGACTCTTATGAATGTTGCATAAACACAACCATTGCCATAATCTACTCCCATAAGCGACTAACTATGAAAACACATAAAAGAAATCGCAAAGCCAGGACCAATAACTATAATTAGCACGTCAAAATCCAAAGTAAACCAGTTTCCCTGTTGAAAGATAATATATGAATAGTACATGTCCACAATCTACTCAGTAAGGTCATAATAGATAATCCAAAGAAATAGGAGGAAAGAAAACAAGAGAAAATTAAATCAGCAAAGTCAATATGAATGCATCATGATTTCAATATCTATAACAACAATTAAGTAACGACCCTCAAAAATGAAAGAAAACTAAAAGATACCCATGTCCAGCGCAACGCAACGCAACGCTATGCTTCCAATCAGCCCATAAAGTCCATCAAGAATTCTCAGTAATCTAATATCATAAAAGACAAAAAAAAAAAGAAAAAAAAAGGGCCGATCCATTGTATGTACGTGTGTATTCAATTTATACATGCATACAAGCTCAACCCCTTGACTTCCCACCACTTGCCTATGAGATTATGCCGTATGCGATTAAAACATTGGCAACTCCCCTCCTGCTCTATCTTTTCTATCACAATAGCCTACGTTCGGGACAGTATCAGCAGCACTTGTCCAACTGATGACGGTTAATGCTGTAGTGTACACCATGACCACCAAGCCGAATATGCAAAGTAAGATGTCTGCCCCTTTGCGGAAGCGCGTTCTGGCTACACCGCGGTAATGTAGCATTGGCTTTTAAATCGTTAGTTTGTAATTTTTAAGGATTGAAATGTGCCATTGCAGAGAGGATCCGCAGTGGGCGTGAAAGGAAGTACATACCGGGTATATAAAGACCAATGGAATACAAGCAAAACTTCCGACAATAGAGACGAATTTATCCAAATCATTGGAACCAACATATGCGATCGACGCACAGAGAGCAACGACGAAGAAGCGGAAGACGTTCTTCTGCCATTTTATATAAGGATTGTATTTTCCGCTTTTGGTAAAGAGCTCGTTTTCTGTGATTCTGATGGCCGGAAAGATCTGTAGGGGAGTTGATAGAAGAATGGCGCATGAATAGAGGAATTGAACTCCATTAACCATCTTGTCATCCTGGGGGAGATTGAGTAGGACAACTGTTTCTACATGGGACCCAAATGCAGCGTACGAAAGAGCACCCATGGAGATGAATACTACGCTGATGATGATCATGACCATACCAAGAACGGGAGGAAATTTCTTGGGGTTCTTCATGGATTCTTGAATAGGTATGATCAAGCCGATTCCTTCGAAAGTGAAAATGGCGGTACCAATGAACAATGTCCAGTCTTGCTGATTGAAATTGACGATATCAGAGATACCACCCTGCTTCACAATTGTGAAAATGTCATAGTAATAGAGATAAATCAAGCCGACAAGAATGAACGCATCTGCTATCAGTGCGGTAAACCCAAGCTTGCTGATATCGCGCAAAAGCGAGAATGGCAAGAAAATAGCCATTTGAAGCAAGATCAACCATGAGACCTCCCAGTGAACTCTACAGTTGGTCACAGCTGCTATAAAAGCCTGCAGATTCTCTGATGTGAATACAATGTATGCAGCCACGAATCCCATCTGACTAATAACGATCGATGCGAGAATGACCGTTCGCATCCATCTTCCGTATAGAACACCTCCCATATCTCCAAATGATGCTTCGACCTTTAGCCGCGTATTGACGAGCAATACAAAGCAGTAATAACTCAAAAGTGCAACCAAAATAAGGATGACGTTACTGAAAAGCATTCCGCCGTTGAGGTACGCTTTTGGTAGGAATAACACGCCAGTTCCAACGAAAGATTTGAGCAATAGCAATGAAGCTTGGAAGGGAGTGGTTGTTCCCTGTGGTGCGCGCTCCTTGCGCTTTCTTTTCCGGCGACCAGGTGTCAGCAGAGCACTATTTTCCATGGGCTCCCTGTCTTCGTCACTAGCATCACCATAGTCATCAGAGACCGCATCTGATCCAAAGTATTCATCAGGCCCGAGCACCTCGTCGTCTTCTTCCAATTCCTCACCGGCAAAGTGACCGTAGATAGTCAAAAACTCGAGGAAATTGTTGGTAAATATCTTTGGCTGTCGTTGCGTAAGCCCTCCACCTTCTTCCATATCCAAACCTTCAGGAGTCGGGCTGCCTGCTGCTCGGCGTAGATAGTTTCGTCTGAAACCGCCTGGCACTTTGATTGTACCTATGTCAAGGACTTCGTTCTCTGCTTCTGGTCGCGAAATATGGAAGCTCTTACTTCTCTGAGATCGACTTGCTCTATGGGCATCTTCAGTCCATCTGTATATAGGCCTAGTAACATCACCACCCTGTAATCGCAGACTTGAAAACTCGTCATCATCTAGCCCAGGTGCTACATTTTCAATTGCTTGCTTCGATGTACTAGCTGGAGAACCCACACGGAATGATGGTGATTGTCCGCTTGGTCCAAAGATTCCATCACCAGCACCGTCACCCCCGAGCTGCGAAGGTACCGGTTGTACCAAATGTCTCTTTATAATTTCTGGATCTTCGTAGGCTGTCGGACCAGCCCATCCTTGCCCTCCTTGCACGGATCGTGGAATAGAGCCGTAATTGCTATGCACTCCTGTGCCTTGTATTTGTTTGCCGGCAGCAGCTGGTGATAATGGACGGATGGGAGGTGTTCCAAAGCTGGGAGGAGTTTGCCCGATAGAATTCGAAAGAGCAGCAGCTAACGCGCTAATGCCTGGGCCAGGCGCATAGGATGCCGGGCCACCTGCACCAGCCAGAGGCAATGGGGGGATATTCTCGGATGAGTCTGACGCGGCGAATTGTTTAGGAGTAGATATCTGGCGAATCTGAGGCGTGCCTTGATGAGAAGGTACTGGTGAAGCTAATCGAGCGGTTGATTTATCTCTTGAAGATGGGCTTCCCGACCGCCCTCTAAATGAGTCTGGTGTTGGTGAAGAACTCATTGGGACTGGCGAAGGTCGAGAGGAGGAGGGAGTCGACATGATGATATAAGGTGAGGTCGGTAAAGGAGTTGGCGATTATGCTTATTTGAAGATAATCCGTGGAGTCTTATCTCATGATAAATGGAAGTATTGTAGTCCTACTAAAATGACCTCTTGGGATGGAAAAGATGGAAATCTTTATCCGCGATTTTCGTTAGCATTGATATATTGTAGATAACAATAACAACAACAACAACCGGTGAATGATTTAAATGCAATCTGCAGAGGAACGATTTGTATCTACTCACAAGATCTAGTCTATTTAAAAGAATGATGAGCAAATAAAATCTTCTAAAAGGAAAAGACGTTGTATTAGAATATTGTCAGCTGCCTTGTCTCATTTGTCTCATTTGCCTTAGTTCACTCATTCATTCATTCATTCTCATTCTCATCCTCAGCTCGCACCAAGCTAATGAATGAGTTAGTTATCTTCTACTTGTAATACCCACGGGGGTGGACTTTGGATCGTATCTCACGAGTCACGGGCCCTTGTCAAATTGATAATCTCAACCCAACAAATCGGGGCGATGCACCTGCAGCGAAGGATGGGCAGAAAAGACCCCGAAAACAAAATATTTGAATCTTAACCAATTAAAATTGTATCTCACATTCTTTTGATTCCCCATTGGTCAGTATATGCAAATAAAGAGATATCAATATAATCTTTCATGCAAGGCAAACATCTATGGATATTTTGTACCATGAGCCATTTTCTATACATGTTATTGCGCTCATCGCAAGGTCGACGTAAGTATATATATACCTATATACATACTCTTTCCTCTACCTTGGTATCCTCCCTTCTCTCCTTCCCTTTCCTTATATTCCCTCTCTCTTCCCATCTCCCCTTTCTCGTTCCTGTCTGGAACTCTTCTAAATAATCTCGCTGTTGCAACGGTACCCTGCCACATGACGTCGGACGGCAATATCCTTGTTCTGTGGCTTCAGCAGCTCTTAGATCTCACAATTGTTACCAAGTATATGCAATACAAAGCAATATTTTGCGACCTACTTAACCTATTCATTTCAAGGTAGGTAGGTACTGTTATTACCATTGGGAATACTATCAATAATCGAGAATGCCCAGTGCCGCACAAGACATTGACAGCACCCACGAATCTAGCACCGACGAGCATAGAAATCAACAAATACAACACAATGGTGAAGCTCCTGCTAATGGACCAACCACTGTCAACAATCATTCCTTGACGAATCAATTTTTACACATATTTTCTCGCCCTGGAAGTGATAATGATCAATTACCGATCTCGCAAGAGGAACAGCATCAAGACCCCTATACTGCCGGCACCATGGGGGATAACTCATTGACTGTGCAAATGCATAGTGAGACAGACCGGCTGCAGAATGGTGCATTGATCCCTAGAGCAGGATTGGTACCTCGACCAATTGGCGGACAGGAGAAGCTTGGGATGTTCTCCGGGGTGTATGTCCCAACATGTCTCAATGTTTTGAGCATTTTGATGTTCCTTCGATTTGGATTCATCCTAGGCCAAAGTGGGATTCTAGGCATGATGGGTTAGTTCTTGACTCCATAATGCGCCAAAAAATATTGACAGCACAGCTAGGTATGCTTATCGCCTCATATGTGATTAATTTCATCACTACCTTCTCCCTATCCGCTATCGCCTCGAACGGAACAGTGCGCGGAGGCGGGGCATATTATTTGATCTCTCGTTCTTTGGGTCCAGAATTTGGGGGATCGATCGGACTGGTCTTTTACCTAGGCTTCGTATTCAACACTGGAATGAACGCAGTGGGCCTTATCGATTGCATAACGCTGAATTTTGGTGCAGACTACGGCAATTGGGCTCAGATTCTTCCCGAAACAAACTGGTATTGCTATCTTTGGTCTACCATAATACTCGTTCTCTGTACGCTGGTATGCTTGGCTGGATCTGGAATATTTGCAAGGGCTAGCAATGGACTATTGGTTATTCTGCTTCTCGCTACATTGAGCATCCCACTATCTGCACTCGTCGTCAGTCCCTTCGAAAGTCGGAAGCTGGGAATTGAATATACGGGCATCAGCTTACAGACACTGTCTGGAAATCTTCTACCTCAGCTTACTAAGGGTGCCGCTGGCAGCCAAATTAATGGAAGAGAGACTTTTCAGGATTTGTTCGGCATTCTGTTTCCTGCAACTGGAGGTATATTTGCAGGTGCCAGTATGAGTGGTGACCTAAAGTCTCCGAGCAAAGCAATACCCAAAGGAACTCTTTATGGTCTTATCACAACTTTTCTCCTGTATTCTTTAGTCATATTAGCTATGGCGGCCACCGTGACCCGCTCATCCTTTCTCAGAAATACAAATGTGCTTCAGGAGACAAACGTATCAGGCCTATTGATCCTGGCAGGAGAAGTATCCACTAGCTTGTTCTCCGTTCTCATGGGAATTATTGGCAGTGCAAAGCTTCTCCAAGCAATATCAAGAGATAGCCTGTTGCCAGGATTTTCCATATTTGGCCAAGGAACCGAAAAAGCCGATGAACCTACTTTTGCGATTCTTTTTACATTCATTATCGCGCAATTGACAATGCTCGGCGACCTCAATCAAATCGCCAGCTTTGTGACTATGACCTATCTTGTAAGTACGATTTCGCCAAAGTACATGTATTTGGCCTGCAAATCCTCCAGATTTCATTTGCCCATTCTGTTAGGCACAATTGCCTTCTTCTTGATATTCAGTACTGTCTTTTGTTGTCCACATATACCGTTTCCATATATGCATCGAGTACAGTAGTACTCATGGTCCTATTTTCATGCCCAGGAACTGTTATGGGTAGCATTGGCTAATATTTTGTAGATGACCTTTTTGGTCATGAACCTAGCATGCTTCCTCCTTTCAATTGGGTCTGCACCCAACTGGCGCCCAAGTTTTCATTTTTTCAACTGGCAGACTGCCTTTGCTGGTGCAATAGTGTCAGGAACCGCAATGTTCTTTGTGGATGGCTTATCTGCAACGGGATCCATAGGTGTTCTTCTTCTACTATTTCTTCTTATCCATTATTCGGTAGAGCCTAAAAGCTGGGGCGACGTATCACAAAGCTTGATTTATCATCAGATCCGAAAGTACCTCCTCAAGCTAAAGCAGGAGCATGTCAAATTTTGGCGCCCTCAAGTTATTTTACTTGTGAATGATCCACGTCGACAATACAAACTTATACAATTTTGCAACTCCATGAAAAAGGGTGGTCTGTATATTCTCGGTCACATTATCGTGACGGATGATTTTAGTCAATCAATACAAGAAGCTGTAAGTATAATGTCTACACCTTTTCACACATGAAAATGGTTCGTCTGTACATTTGAACATGCACATGTACTGATTATAGGGACAGCGTCGTCAACAGGCTGCATGGAACAAATACATTGATTTTTCAAAGATCAAAGCATTCGTAAATATTGCCATTTCTCCGGCTTTAGAATGGGGGGCACGAAACATTGTCCTTAACGCGGGTCTAGGAGGAATGAGGCCTAATATCGCAGTAATGGGATTCTATAATCTGGATGACCTCAGAAACTCGCAGCCATTAATAGACATTTCGGAGCCACCGAAATCATCATCGAAGAATGCTGAGACACCAAAGAAACCACCCCGGAACAAGCGTCAGAATAGCAAGGAAAAGAAGATGCAAGGTGTGCTACCAACTGATTTGTGCCGGACTGAGGGCATGATGAGTGTCACAAGCTATGTGACCATTCTAGAAGACCTACTCTTCAAGCTACAGATCAACGTTGCAGTGGCAAAAGGATTTCGAGATCTGGAGTTGCCTGATACGGAGAACACAAAAAAGTACATTGACCTTTGGCCTATTCAAATGTCTGCTGAAATTGCAGCCCAAGGTGATCAGAAACAAAATGTTTTGACGACCAATTTTGATACATGTAAGACCCCTGTGGTATAGTTTTACCTGGCGTCAAGCAGTGATTAGCAATGACTTTTTACTTCCTGTATTCGCTGTCTTCCAGTATTCGCTGTCTTCCAATACTCGGAGTAGCTGACAATATCCACAGATACTCTGATTCTCCAGCTTGGGGTTATTCTAAACACTGTGCCTGCTTGGAAGAAAGCATACAAGCTTCGGGTGGCTGTATTTGTTGAATATGAAAATGATGTGGAGGAGGAAAGAGGTAGGGTGAAATCACTACTCGAAAATCTACGTATAGAGGCCGAAATTCTTGTATTCTGGTTGGCATCAGGGGACATCCCATCCTATGAGATCATCATTAATGGTGCAAATACCGGTGCTGATCAAATTGACGAGGTCGAGGAGTGTCTCAACGGACAAGATTGGTGGGATGAGATACAGAAACTTCGTGGACATCGTGGAGCAACCACATCTGCTTCAGTAGATTTGGCTCAGATTGCGAACATATTTCACGCTGCTCCGGCTTGGCCAGGTGCATCATTTCAGCAGGGCCCACGATATGAGCGTGTAAGTATTTGACCTGCCCTTCAACCCCTTAAATATTACAATTTTTTCTGTCCCGGAAAATATCCATTAGTTTCAATGCTTCCTGAGCTAACCTTGGAATGCTTTTTAGGCGGAACGATTTCTTGGACTCCGAAGGCTACTGAGAAAATCGAAGAAACGTCAACATTTGAGTAATTTGAAAGGTTTAGGTGTTAGTATGGTCATGCGATCTCAAAGATTAGAACCTGGTGTAACGAGCCGACATGCTAGTCACGGAAGTGCTAGCGAAGATTCTGATAGTGATTCTGAGCTTGAGCTCCAGTCTGATGATGAAAGTGCTGCAAGCGAAGCAGATATGGATGATTTCGAATCAGATAGCGAATCTCAAGCCGTCGAGATCAAGCCAATTGCAAGAAGGAGAAGTCATGGCGATAGCTTACGTGGTCCCCCTATATCTAAACGTGCAGCTGGAGAAAAGGAACCAGTTCCTCCTACGATTTCCAAATCCACAAGACAATCGATAATTGAATCTTTCAATAAATCGCCAGATCTATCGATACCAAGCGCTTCAGCACCGGTGTCACCACCACATTCACCACGAGCACCGAGTGCTCAGCCATCGCCAGTGACTCTTTCCGACTCCCGAAAATTTCTAAAGGACTCACAAAAGTCTCTTGATGCTCCTAATTCGTCAGCATCGTCGACTCTCCTACGGCCCCCCAATCAGATAGCGAGACCACCAATATCTAGACACGCATCTACCCCGAAATTTTCATCAAAGCCCGTTCCCATAACACGCGTCGCCACTGAAGATGGTCCAGGCCCCAGCATAATGTTCACCGAAACGCCCTCTCCGCCCACGAACCGCAAATCTTCGTCTCGTATCCCCTCCGCTTACCGTTCATCTCCCTCCTTCGACCGCATCTCCGAAGCATCCAGTTCTTCTCATCCTCCGCCCAATCCTCCTTCCCCCACCCGCTCTTCATATTCCTTACAAGCTCTTCCGCTCAGTTTTAATGACTTGCCTTGTAGAGCACAGCATTTGATTCTTAATCAATTGATTAAGAGCCAAAGTGAGAAGACGGCAGTCATTTTTACTACGTTGCCGAGTCCTGTTGAAGGTACGGGGAAAAGTAGGGAGGCGAGCGAGGGGTATCTGGGAGATTTGGAGGTGTTGTGTAGGAGTTTGCCCCCAGTCCTGTTGGTACATAGTAATAGTATGACGGTTACGGTCAATTTGTGAGAACTGAAGGAGGATGGGTTGGAGGGGGAAAAAACTCCTGGAAATAGAAAAATGATCGTACACATATGGAAGCGGTATTGAAGTTGGATAAGTGTGATTGATTGATTGAATAAAAATTAGGCATGCCATACATTCGACCAGAAATACGATAACAATTGGATGATGGGAAGAAAAAGATTCGATACATATAGCGGCAATGGGATTAGATGGATATTTACGTTAGGCTTGTGGATAGATAGAAGGATACCATACCTTCTATTGGAACACGATTAGGTTTTTATAAGACTTCTGGATTCTGGGTTTTCTGCGTGTATGAGTTGTATCCATTACGTTGAATAAAGAGCTATAACCTAACATTCAACAATTTCGATATCCTAAGTCCTCAGTGCTTTGAATTATACTGGCGAAGAGGTATCCGCAGAAATTAAGATTGCATTTATCCTTTGCACTAAGCTTCTTAATGCAAAAGAAGTAGCATAACGTTGACCAGCCATGTAAGAGTCATCTGCTTCAAAATTTCATGCCGTGATAGAAAGCTGCCTTCATGAACACCGCTTTCCAGTTTCCTAGAACGTGTTTGGATGTTTTTGAAGAGATGCTGGGATATCTAACCCAACAAACTGATAAATAGGAACGTGGATTGATGTAATTTTAAAGAATTCAGAAATATGCATATTTCATTTTTGTGCTACACCATTCCTTGCGCTAATATTCTAGTTCTTTTACTTGAATTTGTTAATTAGGTGTTTGTTAAGCTCTTGAGTCATGGTAAGCTTGCGCTGCTCTGTGATTCTCGTCTGGTCCCGTATATATATGGTCTGGGACTTGAAGGGGGTATATGTATAGCAATATCTCTGCGTCAAAGACTGAGGGGATCTGAAAATGTCCACCGCTATCTAGTTATATCCACGTGCATCTCCTAGCAAAGAGGAATAGAGTGAGCGGTACTAACTTCTGGTAACGGCTCAATTTTCTCTAAAACTTCATCCAATAGTACTGTACGATTGAAGGCTGCGTGGATGGATTTTTTACTCATTCCCTAGTCCTCGAGAATGAGCAAGCAAGAGGAAATAGCAAGAGAGAAAAGAAGATACGCCGAGGTTGAGGGTGAGGATTATAGATTTGGTTTGAGGAATCTGGTGAATCCATCCAACAAGCTAAATATGGTCACGTGTATTCAATTTACACGAGAATTCGCGAACCGCGTCCTTGCGCGTTTCCCGACTTCATTAATTTAACAAAAGTTCTGAGGAAACTCTCAGCAACGACAACAAAGGATGGCTATACCTGTGGAAGATGGCAGTTTACTGCATGGTCCCACGTAAGTTATTTTCCTGTTCAAAAAGCTATTTTACATTTGAAACTAATTGGTATCTCCAATGCAGCACTTCTCACTCCTCACCACCAACTCGAGTCCCCTCATCATACAAACCTCTACCTACATTTGCACTCTCCAAAGTAAAAAATTATCAGCAGCAATATGGTGATATGTATTTTTTACGATTAACTACTTTAAAGAAACCAGTTGAAGAAATTGCTAGTGCGGCTTGGGATGGGTTCCAAATTTCTGGAGAGGAAGTGCGGAAAGTAGAGAGAGTGTTGGATGTTAGACAGGGACAATTATGTTGGGTGGCTGGTACTATTTATATGAATATGCCATTGAAGCCGAATATTTTGGAAGATATAAGTAAAGATGTATGGAATCTTTCTTTTATTTTGGGCCGTTTGACAAGGACAGGCAGAAGACGTGGAAGTGATGATTCGTGGTACTAATTAATCTTTGGGAGTAGCATTGGATATCGGCACCACCACCTCGGGGGAAATATCTTTCCGGTAATGGCGATGACGAAATTATGCTCGAGGACGAATCCGGAAGATTACGATTGATTGGAGGACAACTAAGTATGGAGTTACTTGTTACAGGTTGTATAGTAGCAGTAATGGGTACAGAAAACGCAAATGGAGATTTCGAAGTTGTGGATATCAAAGTTCCGGATTTACCACCTCAGGAACCAAGGTGGGAGATGTCAGGGGTGAAAGAAGAAGAGGATATAGATATGGATACCGACAAAGCAGGACGCAAAAAAATCGCTCTCATATCCGGTCTCTCTTTCTCCGGAACCAGTGCCGAAAATTCTCTCGAAAAGTCCCTCTTGACCGAATACCTCTTAGGCGAAAGTCTAGATCCATCCTCCCAATCCGACGTCTCAAAAATAAGTCGTCTAATAATAGCCGGTAACAGTATTGCTTCGGATCTCGATAGCATAGCTCATGATACTGTTGGCAATACACGTAAAGCACAAAAGAAATATGGGTACGATGCCAGCGCTTACAATCCAGCTCCTACAGCGCATTTTGATAATTTTCTCGCCGAGCTATTACCAAGTTTACCAATTACATTATTACCTGGAGCTAGTGATCCGGCCAATGCAAGTTTACCACAACAACCTATTCATCCGGCTATGTTTCCTCAAGCGAGAGCGTATTGTGGGAGTGCACCGAGTGTGATTGGAGAGGAGAGGGAGGCGGGATGGTTTGATATAGTGACGAATCCATGGGAGGGTGAAATAGAGGGATGGAGGGTATTAGGTACGGCTGGACAAAATGTAGATGATGTTTTTAAATATGTAGAAGGCGAAGATCGATTAAGTATGATGGAAGCAATGTGTAGATGGAGATGTTGTGCACCTACTGCACCGGATACTCTCTGTAAGTTCTCCCGCATTCCTTTCCTTTCTTTTCCCAACAATCCACCGCTTCCTAGGAAAAATTCTAATATAATCAAAGGGTCCTATCCATTCCAAGACGACGACCCCTTCATAATCCGCACTTGTCCTCACATATTTTTCGCAGGTAATCAACCCTCTTTCGATACAGCTAGTATCGAGGGTCCAAATGGTCAAACTGTTAGATTAATATCAATACCGAGTTTTGAAGAGACGGGCGAAATTGTACTGTTAGATACTGAGACGTTGGAAGCGGAGGTGGTGAGGATTATGGTTGAGTGAGTGAGTGAGTGAGTGGGTGAGTGAGTTAGTGAGTTAGTGAGCTGGGGAGTGGGTGTTTATCTATATGATATGATGTGTGTAAGAGAAAGGAGGGGAGGATGGAAGGGGGAAGGTGGAAGGTGGAAGATGGAAGACGGAGGAGTCATGGATGAAATACCTACCTATCTACCTACCTACCTATAGGATTATCTACTAGATAGGTTGTTGCTAGATACAATAATATAATCTTACCTACCTACCTACCTACCTGCCTACCTAACCCACTAATTAGTAGCTCTACACAACACAACTTTGAAATACAAACTCCAAATGTTAATTCAATCCAACAATTATAAACAAAAGATAGTCAGTCAGCTCTTTTAAGGTTTTTATATCCCTTTTATCCACCCACTACTTTACATTATTAAATCAAACCTTGTAATATTATAAAAGAGACTAATTAATTGATTAATTCCTCGCTTCTCTTCATTCCTCTCCCCTCCTCTTCCCCTCTCTCTCTTTCCTTTTCTCTTTCTCTTTCCCTTTCTCTTTCCCTTCCCCATTCCCATCCCCTTATCTATAAATATAAATATAATCCTACATATCAAAATCATCTATCTCGCTTCCCCCTCTTACCTTCTCTTCTCTCGTCCAAAATAATCTCTGAGTCCAAATATCCCAAGAGATTAATTAATTATCAACATCCACATCAACATCAATAATAATAATCAAAAAGATAAAAAAATTCCAAATACCGATCCTATTATACCTAAACCACCTCTTCACACCCACCCTTTTACGCAGAATCACCAATTCTAACTATAACTCTAACTCTAACCCTAATTTTACTTCCACTTCCACTTCCCACCTCCTCTTTCTCTTTCTTTTCGCTCTTTCAATACATTCAAAACCCCCTCCCCCTCCCCTTACCCGCCACAAAAAGAATTACTAGCTAATCATCAAGAAACTCCTAATATATTCTCATGATCTAATATCTAATATCCTATTAATCCCAAGCCTTCTCCCAAGAAAGTGACGATAATCAAGAAACACTCTGGGCTAAAGCCGATCTACCAGGCCCCTGTACCTTTTTCAAAGCCCTCAATTCTTCTTCGATTCTTTTTCTTTCGGCTTGTTCGGCCTATTAAAATTCCATCATTAGCATCAACTTCCTTTGCACATGGAATTTCAAAAATCTCCAAAAAAGAACTTAAAAAAAACCTAAAAATAAAACTCACCCTCAAAGCTCTCAAACCCTCCGCCCTAGAATCCCTCATCATCTTCTTAAACTCATTTTTCAAGACTGTCGTACTTGTATTCATCATTCCCGGCGTCAAACTTCCATCCCCAGGACTCTTCATACCTAACCATTTAACCTTCTCATCACTCAATTGACTCTCAAGATCCTCCTTCTCATTCCTCAATTTATCAATATTCGCCTCCAATTTCTCTCTCTCCATTTCCCATTCAATCGACGCTTTAGTCATGGCTTCATACTCCACTATCGTCTCTTCGAGTTCCTTTTTGAGCTCTGCAATCTTCGCTTCCGCTTCGGCGCTAATTGCTGGACCTGGGGATCTCGCCGCTTGGAGTTCTGCAATTTCACCTTGCAGCATAAAGTTTTTATTATGGAGGGCATCCATCTGCTCCTGCAACGCCTTATTCTTTCTGGTCATGGCATCAATTTCCCTTTGAATAGCAGGATTCGAGGCAACTTCAGCAGCACGTTGAGCTCGTGAACCATATGCACCATCAAGTTCTGCTCTCGCAATAACAACTTCCGTTTGTAATTCTGCAACCTTCATACTGATATCTTCCACCTCTTTCTCTTTCTCCGCCAGTAATCTATCCTTCTCCCTAAGAGAGTTTTCATGAGCAACTCTAGTCGTAGCCGCTGCAGCTACAGCAGTCGATAACTCTGCGATCCTAGCTTCATGTCCACTCAACTTGCTCGTAACATCAGCACTATTAATACCATGATCGTCCTTGATCCCTTGAAGCTCTAGTTCCATCTCATCAATCTTTTTATTGGCAGAAGCGAGCTGATCCTCAAGATTTCGATTAGTAGTCGCCAAACCAGCAATCCGCTCCTGGGATTCACGAGTTGCGACAGTAAGCTGTTCTTGTGCACGAAGCTGCGCGTCAGTAAGACTAGCAATTCGTTCCGAAGCTTCACGATGAGAATTAATAAGCTCCTCCTCGTGTAAACGACGAGCCTTAGAAAGCTGTTCTTGTGTTTCTCGAAGAGTAGCAGAATCCTTAGCCTGGGCCTCGGCATCCATCTTGTCTGCTTCCCTTGCCTTCACCAATTCAGTCATAGCATTGCTTAGTTGTTCCTGAAGGTCAGCAGCATTGCGTTCTGTCCTCCCGAGAAGATCCGTAGTCTTATCAAGCTCTTCTTGCTTAGCCACTAACTCAGCATCCTTTTGAGCATCTGACTTATTATTCAATTCTCGCTGTTGTTTGATTTGTCGTTGCAGAACCTTCTTATGCTCCTTCAATTTTGTAGCCGAAGAATACAACCACTGTACTTTGGCGGAAAATGCTTGAAGCGTGTATGGCTCATTTGGATCACCCATCTCAGAACCAGTATCAGATTCATCCTGAGGAGTACGACCATTCGCCGCCCGATTAAGCTTCCGCTCGTGCTTCTGTTTTCGAAGCTCTTCTTCCCCAGATTGTATAATATCCCACAAACCCATAAGTACAGCCTCCATTTGATCACTATCTGAAGATTTACTCCTATTGATAGGAGGATTCGCAACTATTTCCGCTGCCTTTGTAAGTTCCTCTTCTACCGAAGCAATAATATCCTGGAAATAATACAATTGCTCCCTCAAGCCAGTTTGTTGTCCGGTGATACCTGGTGGCTCTTTCAACTCTGGATGTGTAGGTGAAAGAAGACCCTTAACTTGACGATTTAACTCTTCCAAAGTATCTTCCATAGAAGCATTAAGCTCATCCGCTTTCCGTTTCGAAGCACCTTGCTCGAGATCAAGAGCAGCAATACCTTGCTCCAAATAATCAAGATGATTTTGTAAAGTTTCTCCAGGTTGAGTCGGTTTTCCTTCAGCATTTGTTCTTGCAAGTGGTACTGGGTTTTGGCTCGCGTCTCGGTCCGGATTAGCCTTAATAAGAACTTCTCTCAAAGCAGAATTAAGATCCTCCAATTTTTGTTCAGTAGTCGAGATAAGTTGCATATGCTCTTTTGACCTTTCTGTAGATGGAGTTTCCAATGCCTGATTCATACCAAAAGCAAAAGATATATCCAAAGGATCCAATTGTCGATAAAAGCTTCTTTCATCAAACTCATCCTCAATCAACTCAAGACTGTTCCTAGCATTATGATACGTGTACATACTTTCCGGACTTCCAGGTATACCAGCTTGACGGGCATCTTCTCCTCCAGGATGACTTTTAGGGCCTTTATGTGTCATCTGAAGAATTCCTGCTGTATGCTTCAATAATCGATGCTCGGGTTCAATCAATCTCTTCTCCAAAGACCACAATTCTGCTGCCAATTCTTCGCATTTCTTTTCACTAGCCACACGCTCCAAATCAGCTTCTCGAACCTGATCGCTATTACTTCTATCCCTATTTCCAAATATACCGCGCTTCTGTTTATTAGGATCATTCAAATCCACACTCTTCTTCTTATCCGGATATAACTTTGACATGGAACGAGTCGCATCGCGATATTTCGAATGAACCACCAAATTTTGTCGCGCGGTTTGAATTCGTTGGTTTAAAGACTGGCATTGTTTTTTCAGATCATCGACTTCTTCTGGGGATAAAATTTCGTACTCCTTTGCATCCCATAATGCTGTCTCTACTAATAAATGTACTTGTATTGGATCGTTAATATCGAGTGATATAGAACTTTGCGGATGCGCCGTATTTCCCTATGCCATAATAAACATTAGCCATTGAATTATCTTCAAAGCCTTTCACACACATAGCCTATTTGCAACTCACCGGATTATAACGTGCTTGTGGTTCCTCAAATCCATTCAAAATATCCGCTCTATAACCTTCCAAAACAATCGAAGTATCCGGAGCCTGAACATCATATCTTTTGCCCGCAGCAGCATTTTTCTCTTTCATCGACCCATAATCATAATCCCTCGACCCTCTATTTTCCTTCCTGCCCATCTCACCCCTCATCTTCTGTCCATAATCATTCCCATAACCATCCTGAGAATCACCACTCTGCTGCGCATTGTATTCCCCAAACCCCAAATCCTGACTCGTCCTACTCCTATTCTTCCGAGGTTCTCTGTCACCTCTACTAGGCATCCTCCTTCTGTTATCGTATCACAACCTGAAGAACAAATCTCCCTTCCCCCAATCTCCAAACTCTTTAAATATCGCGCAATCGATCTATCTGCGAAATCCTCTAAGAAGGTAACAAAATATTTTTGACTCTCTCGTTATCGCATTATCACCCACCAACTTCCCTTCCAACCAACCTCACCTCATCCAATGCAGCGACAGCGTCAAGAAATCGCACCGAAACCCCAATCACCCAAAATCCTCTCGTCCAAAAACCAATCAATCAATCAATCCAAGTCTTACTTTCAAAGTCAAAAAAAAAAGAAGAAAATCAAAAACCAATCGTGTCCCTTTTCGAAAAATAAAAATCGTAGATCGTTGTATACATACTTCCAAAAGAGAAGAGTAGGTAAGGTTAAAGAAACGTACCAAATTAAGATAGTAATAAGCAAGAACAAATCAATCCAACATTCATTTCACATCCCCTTTTCGGTTCCTGACTAAACTTAATATGTATGTCTTAAATAATATAGTTCTACCTAGTAAGACTTACTTTGTAATTATGTACACCCTGTCACTACTAAATGCGATGGATGGATGGATCAACCAGCGAAACGGGCACTTATTTTCTTTCGTGAAGCTTATTTATTGTTATTTCTATAAATGTTTTTTTTTTACTTTTATTTTTTACTACAAATGATGTGATCCTTGTTTTTTTTCTTGATTGAGGAAGATCTAAGATCCTTATTGATGATCTATTCGAGTTATCACTCACTCTATACCCACTAACTACTCTAGTAACAATTCGAAAGATTCGAAATGTTGGTACCAGTACTGCATTACACACTCCATGCATCATTTCTCCATCTCTCATTCCTCTAACCCCAATACATCCTTTCATCCTTCCATCCTTCCATCCAGCCCCATCAGACCATCCAAATATCCTCAATAGCCAGGTAGCCAGGCCCTACAATAACACACTCTAGTACCTATGTACCTAGTTATCCACGTACAACCTCTCATAAACATACAAAAATAGATCCCGCCACCTACCACTTGCCACTTACCTACCTATCTATCTTTAATGGTGGCTAAGCGGTCCCTGATGGTCTATAGATACCTAGGTATAGAGTAAGGTCACAGTAACCCTACCAACTAAAAGAAAAGATTTGTTGGTGTATTCTAGATTGGCGATTTAGGGGTCTGGGCTAACCTTATGATCTTATGATCAGATAGATAGATGCGGATTGTTTGGATTATTTGCAAGTTATAGTGGGTGACTTTGGGAAATTTTTATATAATATCTTTAAATATTTTAAACCCTACATCCAATATCCAATACCAATTTACAAATCCTTCAAAAAAATCATTAAACTTAAAGAATTGTAAAGAAAGAAGGATCTTATAATTATAATCCTAATATACCATCCACTCATCTGCCCATCTAATAGGTAGTCAATTCCGACCTCTCTCTCCTCATTCCCATTTCCTCACACAATACACAACCATATAATACAATCTCAAATCTTCCATAAATCAAAATTTCCACTGCATTATTGTATACTACTGATATTTTTATATTGATTTATTATATTATTTTTTTCCAACGCTAGGGAAGATGCTATAATATGCTATACTATGCTACGCTACCAACGCTATGCTACATTTCGACCTTTTTTCCTGACGTACTATATACGCAGTACGCTCTCAATATATCCAAACAATGCATGCAGCAAAACTCCTAGTACGCACGTTAAAGTATCCGAAACCCTGAACCAAGCCAAAACCAAACTGAAATGAAAAGAAAAGAGTAGAGAATAAAACCCATGATCCATCCATCACCCATGCAAACTCCTGACCAACAAACAAATCACTCCGAAACAATGCATGGTATGCTAAATCGCATGAAAATCGCATAAATCCTGAATACGTGAGAGCAATAAATGAGATAAGATCCAAAAGATATCATCCTTCTTCGCAGCTTCATCCTTCGCAACTTCATCGCTTAAACATATAATGTCCATACATACCTCCCACCTCCGCTCGAGCAACTGGTACTTTCCTCATACCCCAGTAGTTTGCTCCCCATTTCCATTGTCTTCCTCCAGAGTCATTTTGACTTTCCTCAGACTTGTCTTCACGAACCAACCAATATCTTCGACCTGCCTCCTTCAAACACCAACCTGCGCGCTTCACTAAAGAACTAGTATTCATAACTTTGAAACATTCCGTACTAATCTCAAGGACTTCAAGTGGTAATGTATCGTTTCTAAGGATCGGACAGCTTGAACCAAATAATGTGCCAAGATCGAGTTGAGCCTTTGAAAGATCTGAAACATCAACATAATGTAAAGTATGCGGAACCCAAGCAATTTGTTCTTCAATACTAGCATCTTGATCTGGTACAAAAAGTCGACGAACATCGGATAGCTGTAAACCATGACCTAGACCAAGCTCCTCAAGATGTTTTGTAAGTGGTAGGAAGAGTGGAATGTGCGATTCATGCATTTCGCTTCCTTTGAGACTTAATGATCGTAGAGTATAAGGGAGAATTGGAAGTAGAGACGTAACCTCGAAACGATTAAGCATTTCGTGGGATTTGATATCGGAACCGAGATTGAGGTAGGCGAGTGACTTGACAGCAGGGTGTGTGCTGAGGAATTCGACTACTCGTTCTCCTGAAAGGTAAGAGCATTTGCTGATATTCAAATGCGTAAGCCTCGCTGCTTGAGGGATAGAGAAAAGAATGTCATCCGTAATGCGAGTGTGCGCGACGTCAAGATGGGTCAGATATGGAAGTCGTGGAAGGAGGGTCTCAAAGACTGAGGATGGTAAATTTGTGCATTCATGGAAACTCAATCTGGTAAAGGGAAGAACTTCAGGAAGTGGGGAGGTATTCACAGCCGTGGTGAAGGAGTCGCGGAAAGAAGCTGATGAGCAGGCGCAAAAGTCCAGGGCTTGCAGATTTGGTAATTCGCAAAGGAGTTTTTGAATAACTTTTGCATCCATATCGTCATCGATATGCTCCTGGCTCAAGAATTCTCGTAGGTTTGGAGTCAATGATAGACATTCGAGAAGAGTTGCTGGAATCAAGTTCAATGTCTCAGCACGCTGTCTAGCAGTGAGACCAATACCAGTTGGGTTGAAGTGGGAGAAGTCCAATCGTCGGACAATCGTGCCTAAAGCTGGATAATCCCTAATGTGGGCCAGGAACTTGCGAAAGACTCGAGAGTGCGGAATAGTGATTTTCGTATAAAGAGAAGCTAAGGTTGCCGAATGCATCGCGTGCGATGTAAGGAGGAGAGACATCAAGTCAACATTCCGTGGTGTGATTCCGCCCGGGGGGATATCCATAACAAGCTGATCAATAATAGCGCCTGTTGATGTTAGCACTATACTCAAAGTCATTGTAGGTATACGTTGAACCTCAAGCTCCTGGTAATCCACAGGATTATTGTAGACTTGTAGATAAAGCTGTTCCCAGATGTCCCAGAGGAACTAGAGTCATGTGACTACATCATCACCCGTATCCTAAGGGTCGATTCCTTGGAGTCGATTTGGGCGGGGAGACGAATTCGTATTGTAAATAGATATCCAGTAATCCAGGTGGTGGATTTGATCAAAAAGGGAAATAGCTTACCAAGTAGTTCCGCAGGTAGCATCTCTATTGGAGACTTTCCAGAATTACTGACTTTGACTTCTTCCATAACCGGCTCTGCCTCTGGCTTCAATTCCGGCTCGGGAGTAACCTTTGACTCACAATCACTGTCCCAACCCCAGCCCATCTTCATGTTCCTTAAATCACTGTAGCTTTTACTTGCCACCTTACCACGGACAGCAATTTGCTTCCAACCTCGGAAGCCATCGCAAGGGCAAACGAATCCATGGAGAGTGCTATGAGGGTTTGTAGACCACAACGTTTGCATATCGGACTCGGCGTTTTCTGGTGGAGTTCTAGAACCTCCACTGCTCGTGTCATCAATAGCGATCTCGTTCTCGTTGCTATCGACTTCGTACTTCAGATAAGAGCTGACCTTGGAATCGGTGAAAGATTGAGGAACTCCAGAAGTATTTTCTTTTACACTTGAAAAGCTGGTCCTGTCTCCACGATCCGACATTGGTGGTGTGATGGAATGTTTGCGAGATATCAAGTTCGGTGCTGATTTCATCATTGGCCTTGTCGGCAGTGGTACATTCGAGTTTGCCACAGCCATATCGGACATTTGTGCTGCACGAGACCTGGGAGGTGAAGGCAGTGTGTGTAGGCAAATATAGTAAATATGAATCCAGGTGGTTGGGATTAAGCCAACGAGAGACGAGTAGACGGTGAATAAGAGACAAGCCCAGCAAGCGCTATAATAATTGTGATGATTGAAAAGTAGAAGATGTGGTTGCACTGGCACTTTACAGAGGTTGATCAAAGGAAAAAAAACTGAGATGAAGAAAATCTCTTAGTCACGAAATTCTCAATTTCGTAAGAGAAAATCCCAAACCACAACTTTAATATGCGGGGAAAAGGGAGGGGTCCCTTTATGACACACGTCGAATGAATTGAATTAATTAGATGAAAGGAATTGTTTTTTTAATGATGAAATAATAGAAAATTAAAGAAAATGTTGTCTTAACTTTTTTGAGGGGGTTTTTTGTTCTGTATTGTTGTGTTGTATTGTATTGTTGGTTGCATATGTACGTTAAAAGGCTTATTATTAAAGTCCCACGTTATTATTGAATGGTTGGAATTGAATTTATGCTTTGACAGGGCAAGGTGGAGGGATGATCTGTATGGTATTTTGACTAGGTAGGCACGGAGTATCGTAGATTCGTAGGGAATGACTTTAAAAGAAGTGTAGAAGAGTAGAAGGGGTATGGTGAATAATCTAATGATGATCCAATGATTATCTAATGAATATCAATTCAAATAGTTTCAAGTGTCCAGTGCTAGATACATGAATTGATGAATCGTTTTCACCCAAATGGCGTAGTATAATTTTGTTTTTGAACTTGAACCCCCTATGATATTGATATTTTGATAGTAGGTTATATTGATGGTAAGTAGATATTAGTAGAAGTACTATTGGTAGTAGATAAATATTACATCCTACCTACTAAGAAATCAAGTGAATAATACTAAAATAATAATCTAATAAGTAACAAGTTGCCTCCCGAATCCCATCATCCATCATCTCAGGTGATTCAAAAACCCCATGAATCACTTGAGTAATGCAATGCAAACAAAAGAACCCAAAGAGGCTGATAAATATCACCAGTTTAGATTATCAAGGGACCACCAAGACTCTCCAGAGGAGAATGAGAGAAAGTCATCATCTCCCTCCGAAGCTATGACCATTAATCCTTGCTTGATATTCATTGTTCGCAAATCGCCAGGTTAATGGCATAATAATCCATGAAACCCCAGTCCAGCACACTAAAACCGATAATTCTTTGTCAACGAATGCGAAGAAGTCTATGCAGACAAAACAAAATCAGACACATGATGTACTTTTCCCATCCCCATAATCTGGATAATCAAACACGACTACGACTATTATAGAAGAAGTTAAAAGAAAGGACCCATCAAATCAACTCAACAGCGGAGAAGCAGAGATCATGAGGCTTGGCAAGGATGCAGCTATTACGTCTTCGGAATCGATTTGCTTCGGTTTGGGATATATGGCGAAAGCCAGAAAGGATTCTTATAGAGTAATAGAATTGATGGTATTTGATGAGCGATGCGATGAGATGGGATGGGATGAGGATGAGATGTACAGCTGGATGATCAAGGGCGGCAAGTAACACCTTGATAGGTTTGGTCGAAGATTCTGGAGACTGGAGTATTCGCACAGCATAACGTATTTTCCATCAGATTTGGCGTGAGAAGTGCATTAAGTGATCGAAATTACCCATTCTTTGCAATCGCTTAAAAACGCCCAGACTCGGTTACAGGAGGGAGGATACAGACAGAGACACATACATACTAGGTAGGTACAGTACATACTGTGAAATTAGGAAAATCCTCAATATACACCGTGCAACAAATCTACAGCAAATCTACTGCATCCATCCATCTACACCTACCTACCTAGGTACCTACCTCGAGTCCGGAATCCAATATTTCTCCATGCGACTACTGCCAAGCTTAGCCAGACTTACCACCACCAACAAAAAGGTAAACCTAGGGAAAAACATAAAGATCACCCCAGCTTTTCTTTTCTTGTCTTTTCTTTTCGACCACGTTACACATATCACACTACTCCATATATCTATCCATCAATCAAGATCACCACTTCGTACTCCGCATTCCGTCTTAACTAAAAAAAAAAAAAAGGGTCAAACTTAAAAAGTTCCACCTCCAAACACTACGCCATATACAGAGTACAGAGTTAAAACACAAAATAAAAGACACCCACCCATCCGTCAATCATATCGGTGAAAGACCCCATTGGCTTACATCCATCATCCATCATCCATCCATTCATCAACAAAGTCAAAACATATTACCTAGGTACTCCATACATACATTTTTTTAAGAAAAGGTCGGGTGGTACAACTTCCAAGTACTCCGTACATACAAAAGAAAAAAGTAAGGGGCAAAAGAAAAAAGTACGGGGTAAATCACTTGCCATGTACGTACGTCCGTCCGTACGTCCATCCATCCAGCGTATCACTAACACTAAATATAATCCCCCTAATGCACTCCACATTCCACATTCACCCACCCCCCCAGCTGGATCGAGAAGTACCTGTCTTTTGGTCCGAACTTACCATGTTTCATTTCAATACTACGTATAATTTTCTCCATCACGTGGACCAATCAATATTCTTTTTCTCGCTAAGCTACCTAGTTCGGTAATGAAATGCAAAGTACAGTCGCTGTCAGGTAGCGCTTGCCCATTTGCACATTCATTCGCGTCCATCCCGAAGACCCCGGGAGGAGTCTCACAAATTGCTGCAATCATCACATTTCCATTTGAAGGAGAATCCACCATCATTGCATCTACCGAAATGCTTCCATCATATACATTATAAACAAACGCCATTTCTATGTGGCAGCCCGCCCAAAAGGTTCAACGCCAAAATATCCATACTCCAATGGGCCTGTATGCGCCATAAAGCTACAAGGATTGATCCACCTAGGTATCAAAATCGTACCAAAAAACTCCATTTGTCCTGCTGTAGTCTTGCCGGCTATCCTTATCGTCCATTATTGAATCGCTTGTTCTTCGTTTTCTCTTTACAATCATCACAGTACCATTTTGCTATACCGTGTTAGTTACTTGTTCCTATAGGGTACGAGATGAGGGTGAACATACCATTACCCTTGGGCGCGATTCTTAAGCCCACGCATTCGAGATGGAACCACTCCTTCTCACAAGTGCCATTATCGCAGGCTACCATCTCGCCGTAACTAACTCCATTGCAATAACAGTAGGTAGGCTCATCGGCATCTATCTCAACATCTTCATCATCGCCTTGCGCACTACTCGTCGTATCGTCGAGTTCCATGTTTTGCTGGGCGATGAGTTGAGCGGCTGCACCTGCACCTTTCTTGTGGCTTCTTTTAGCCGTAGACACGGGGTCAGGAATGCTGCGCGATGATCTTGAGCGAACTGGCTCAACAAAAGAAGGCATTGCTGGCGTGGATGGTTTGCTTGCTCTGCCACTCTTTGTAGTCGTTATCGTTGTTGATTGAATGCCCTGCATAGCATCTCCGTTTGATTCCACAGTCTCTTCTCGCTTCATACTCTCTCTGCTGTTCCCAACAATGATGCCGCCTAGTACTTCGGGGTTTTGGGGTTGAGCATCCTCAAGGAGATGTTCCCCTTTGCCATTTGTGCCAGCCTCTTTCATTGTTGCCTTGACCTCTGGAATGGTTTTCCCCGTTACACTCGCAACAACTGCTAAATCAGGTGTGCCAGGTGCATTTCCGTTTGGCTTATTCGAAGCTGAAGATGGAGGTCGCCGTGCTGTGTCCGCAACTGATTGTACTGAATTCTGTCTAGCCCTTGCTGAAGCTGGCCTTCCGCCATTGACAGGAGCCGGGGATGCTCGCACTGGCGGTTTTATATCGGGAAATGTGCTCCGAACAGGAGAGGATGCTAATGAAGGCGACATTGCAGCGTTTGCGGTGTTATTTCTAATTGATCGTGAATTAGTGAAAATAATTGCTGCCTACATCAGGAGCAGCCACATACCTTTTTCTTGCTTGTCCGTTAGGAGCAGCTCTTGCTCTTGCGGGTTTCTTGGTTCCATCCGGTGCCGGGGTTGACCTAGGGCTCCCCGCCTTGCCCTTCGAGGCGGTTCCATTAGTACCAAAAACTCCATTCAGAACACGCTCCGTTGATGGGCCTGCAGTTGTAGTTTTGTCGACCTTTCGCCTTTTCGGAGGATTCCCATTTGTGCCATTTCCATTGATTATTCCAAGTCCAACGCCCGTTGGGGTCTCGGTAGTAGCAGCTTTTCGAGCTTTGCTGTTTCCATGAGGTCTTTTATTTGAATCTGCCTTTCTCCCTTCTTGACTATCGTCGAAATCTGAGTCTGCATGTTGATTCTTGGCTCCTTTCCTTGCAAGCAATGCTTGCTTCCTCGCATCACTCCTCGCAGCGTGCTCTTCTGCTACTTGTTGTGCCGCTGCACTAGGATTATTTGCGGGAGGGGCGTCCCTTCTGGAGTTACCACCAGAATTTGTTTTAGATGTTCGATTCTCAGGATATGCCCAATGTGTAGTACTGCCGTATCGTGCCTCCTCACTCACTTCTTTTTCAATGTGCGGGAAACATTGATCGAGACGTGCCAGTTGTTTATTTAAGGCTTCGCCAGCCGTCGAGATAACATGGTTCTTCTCATCGAGAGATACTAGCATATTTTGCATATAACTGGCACATGATTGGAATTGCCGCCTTCTAGGCATGTTAGGAGTATGATAAATAGCATACGCTGGATTGACGGGAGCGAACGATTCCCCTTGCATCTCCATTAGCATGCCCGCAGGCCCACCATTGCCATTTGCTAACGAACCGTTTGTGCTAGACAGATGATGATGTCCATTCGTAGATGCAGATCTTGAATTGGAAGAATAATTGAGTGCTGTCGGGGGTGGGGTGTTGAGCGCGATGTCGACGAGTCTTGCGAGCTCCTCTTCCGGCCCAAAGACTTTCGCATCGACTTCCTTGAGTAATGTAAAGTGTCGCACAAGTTCTTTTGGCAACGCAGATATAGCATCTGCGAACTGGGTTATCGCGGGAAATATTTCGACGGTCTGATCCACATTCGGTACTCCATCACCGCCGCCAATCGAACCTCTTGGTCCAAAAGGTCGAGAACCAGAGATTGAGGATCTAGGAGGATTATTCCGTGTCTGTCGTAAAGGCTGAGCTCTCCGGCTCGAAGAGGGGTCCGTAGGCGGTGCTTTTGTAGTTTTCATCGTGAGCGTCGACTTAATTTTCGAAAAGTAGGAGAGGAAATCGAGGAGAAAGCTGTGCGACACGCGCAAATTGGATTCAAAGAGTTTCTGAAAGTAATTTTTGACTTTTGAGGCCCATTGAAAATTGGCATTAGATTCGAGAAAGTCGTTTCAGCATTTGAGATTGTTAAAATGTATGCCAGCTTTGTAGAGTTGCAGAAGATCTGGGTGGGTGATCACTCCGGTCTGCTAGGGTAAAATGCGCGGTGGGCAGAATTATTTCACCGCCTAGATTGGGCTAATTACGGTGGCCTGCAGGCTTTCAAAGCTTAATAAACTGCCGAGCTCAAGTGAATCATTTTGATATCGATATCATTGTATGTCGGTAGTAGGTAGATGCGATGATAGGGAGGTATTCTTTCTAGTATCTCCTACCTACCTACAAATCAGGATACTTTTGATGAGACGATCCAATCTAGTAAACCTCTAGATACATCTTCCTTCCTTTATGAGAATATATTAGACAACCTTTCATTACCAGCCCCCAAAATTCTATTATCAGTAGATTATCCGTCGAACAAAGATCACTTCAAAAACTCCCAAATCCTTTTATAGGTCCTTTCCCGCTGCAAAATTTCCCTGGATATCTAACGACTTCTAATATTCGATGCTTTTGTTCCATTGCCCTGAGCCTTCTCTTCCACATGCTTCTGTTTCCATTGCCATTCGACCAGGACCGGTAAAAACTGCCACAAATCAAATTCGGGCCATAAACAATCCAAGAAAACTATCTCCGTATCCTCATGGCATTGCCATAACATAAAGTCGCTCAGTCTATTCACGCCGCTGGTTCGGATTAAGAGGTCTAAAGGAGGATCTCCAGCAGTGAATAGGTTTTCTGCAAGCGTGTCTACGGATATCAGTTCGGGGTCGGGGAACACTCCAGCTTCAGGGCTACTTGTTGTCGACGACTCGGGGTTCAGGGTTGTCGATGATGACACGGATTCGTCTGGTTCTGATCTACTCGAGGGGGTAGGTGAAATTTCTCTCAGATCTTGGTTTGATACTGAGTTGACATTCCGTGACTTGAGCTTTTGTGTAATTCGAGTCTGCGAGAATGGTCGCTGTTGTGTATATGTAGGTTTTGAGTAGTTTTCCACGGTAGTCTTGATTGCGGTTGTGATTTCATCTCGAGATGTGTATGGGAAGCAGATGTTCAGTGCGCAACTAAGACAGTGTTAGAATCCCTGACCTGGTAGCATCCATATAACCCAACTTACTCTCCATTGTTCTTTGTCATCTCCACGGCTCTATCAATAGCTTCCAAAACATCGTCTTTGACCAAATTCCTCTGACCAAGAACTCGAACGCTAGCCCCGTACCTATCCAGAAGATCCCCATGTTGCGCCAATTGTACCAGCTTAACCTTTGCCATTTCCATGAGAGCATCCACCTCGTATTTCGACCGTTTAAAATTCTCAATACTGAATGCGTAAACTGTAACGACTTTGACTCCAGACTTATAGCAAACTTCCAGTATCTACAAACTACATTAGCACAAGGACATCAGCCATATTGCAGGAAGGCAAACCCTTGCTAAAGCCTCAAATCCCAAATTATGTCCCTCCACTGTCTCTATCTTATGACTCCGCGCAAACCGCCTGTTTCCATCCATCACGAATGCCACATGTTGAGGAATAGGACCTTGTCGCAATGCGCCAATGAGTAACTCTCTCAACTTATCAATACCCCATTCAATGGGCGGCGAGGCCAGCATCCATTTTCGGAGCTGCGAGACGTGCCTCGAAGACATGCTTGCTGTATGAAGGGAGGCAGTACAGCAGAAGATACTTAAGGTTGTGTGACGAGGGATCGTGCGGGCTTCGAGTGCGATTCTAGTGTATGAACTAGATAAATAATCGTCTTTCGTTCTCCAATTCCTGTCCGTAATTTGGAATTAGTTTTCGTTAGAGTAAGTTATTGATTATTAAAACGCTGACGTATCCTCGGATCAGTACTTTGATTGAATAGTTCTACCGGTGATGTTTCTTTTCCGAGTCCTAGCAACGCTCGAGCTAATGAATAGAATTACTAGGGTTAAGTACAGAAGACGGATTATATTATTCGAGATGACTCTTTATAATTATAGAATAAATTTTTCAATTGTATCAAATTTTATAAAATGTTTTTCAGTCAAAAATATGATTTTAAGCTATAAGAGGTTATAGAATTAATTTTATTAGATTTTAAATAAAATGAAGTATAAAAAAAACTGAAGGATTAATTAAGTGTTACGAGGTTTGCCGTCTAGATCACGTGGAAGTGCTCTAGGCTCTTGAGGTGGTTTATAACTAGGCGTCAAGCAGGGACTTAAGTAATGACAATAATGATATGCAATTCGTAACTAATAATAGAGTATACTAAATGATTGATCTTGAGCACGAAGCTCTACACAAAGGAAATCCATCTTGATTATATAGACCTTCATGCTTCATGGCTCGAAGGGAGCGAGGGGATCGAGCTTCGATCCTTTCGCTCTCCTCGATCGAAGGGCTCGAGAGGCCAAGCCTTCGAGCTCTTCGAGTCCTCGCGTCACGTGTTATTACTAATTCCGTGACCTAATTGTTACTTGTCGTAACACTAAGTATATAATAATTTTATAAAGCTTTTAATTAATTAAAATTTTAAAACTAATTATATAGACTCAATAGATAACTTAAATCTTAAAGTATATCGATATAGATATGCGTGATTCTTCTTTCTATAAGATTCATTGATTAAATTTTTCAGTCCCTTCTAGAATGCTCTGTCCTAGCATATCTAACTCGTACACTAGCTAGTGTACTTCGTACTGTGCAGTTCAACACTCCCAAAATACAAGTCTGTGTTTTCATAATAGTCTTCAACTGATTTTTAGTTTTCAGATCCATAAAATGGTCTCCAACCTAAAATATCATTCAGTTCTCTGTACACAAACCTGGATTTAATACTTAGGCATGCGGTTTATTTCGTCCATATGGAGGTCAGTCGGTTTTCCATCAGAGGAACTGGATTTTCAGCAGTATCAGACTTGTTCAGTTCTATCGGAACTTGCAAAATCAATATGTAAGATATTACCTTTTCGGGGTCTCACTGTTTGCAAACACCAACGCTAGAACGGCACAGCACCGTTAATGATAGCCATATACGGAAGCTATTTATATTACAGATGCATTGCAAGTGAATCGCAAGTGCTCACCATGCCTCATCGTGGCATTGAAAACTAGGCCAAATGAATTTACTGTGTTTGTTAAAATGTACGAATGAATTACCTTTACACATAAGGTCCAATCCTTTTCCTCCCGAGGTCTTTCATAGTTTGACTCGGAAGCTTTAGATTGGTCGAGTAATCATTGCAAATGATATGTCATGTTGGGATATGATTGTCATGCTTTAGCTCCGCCACACTGTTGTCTGTAACAGTTGGATCTTCTCCACCTGCCTGTCTTATATCTTCTTAGACTTTTCTATGGGATACTATGTAAAATCCCATTTAGTTGTGGCACGCTACCTTCCTTTTACTTTCGAAAATACATCATACAATCTGTAGTCAGAATGTTTGATATTACTTTGATCATTCTCACGGGAGCTTTATCCATACTGTTGTATGGCATTGTGACTAGTTGCGCCAACCCATCGAGTCATCAACATGGCTACGAGCGTCCCGTTACTTACCGTCACATTGATCCGTTCTTTGGACTTGACCTAAAGCTGCAAGAAATCAGAGAATCTTTGAGAAATAAAGGGATCCCCTTTTTGTCCAATCTTCACAAAAAGTACGGAAAAACAATTTCGGTGAATAACTTGGGTACTTTGGACATACGAACCATTGAATCGGAAAACCTCCAGGCAGCTTGGTCTGCTAACAATACCGACTGGGGCTACGAACCTTTTAGGCTCCCCGTCATGGGACCTTTCTGTGGACGTGGATTCATTACCACGGATAATGAGTCGTGGCAGAAAGCTAGGGTTCTTCTTCGTCCGACGTTTAGCAAAGCGAATATCTCAGATTTAAAACCTTTCATAAGTTTAACGAAGGAGTTCTTCAAAGACATTCCTGAGGATGGTAACACAACAGTGGATCTACAACCTCCCCTAGCAAGCCTTGTAAGTGTCAACGTTGAAGACTCGTGCTGGAGATGGGACGATCTGACCTTTGTTTTAGTTCGTAGGTACCTCCATGAAGTTTATACTAGGGATTACTCTCAAACCCAGCACCGGTGAAGGACCCAATGAAGTGGCTGCTTTTCTAAAAGCTTTCCAGAAATCATTCATTGGCATGGGTCTCTCATTCATGCTAGGCCCCCTGCAATTCCTCATTCCAATATCATTGAAAAACGACGCGTATAAAGAAGTTCAAGCATATCTTGACTCACTCATTGACACGGAATTAAACGCCGAAGAGTCGGCCCTCAATGCTCAAGAATCAAATTCAAGAAGTCTCCTTCGAGGCCTTGTGAGGGAAACAGATGATCGAATCGAGATTCGTGACAATGTTTTACAAGGGATGATGGCTGTTCAGGACACAACACCTGTTCTCCTCAGCAATACGCTGTTTCTTCTCTCGCGAAACCCAAAGGTATATGATAGACTACGAGATGAAGTGCGGTCACTGGCTTTAGAACCATCGCCGCATTTGTACGACAGGTTGCGCGACCTGAAGTTTCTTCACAATATCATTAATGAATGTAAGAATCTATACCATGCTAAACTAACTACACCCATACCTGTAAATAACTAACTGTTCATAAGCTCTCCGCCTCTTTCCGACCTTTCCAATTCTTACTCGCATCTCATTGAAAGACACTTTCCTACCAAGAGGAGGGGGTAAAGATGGCAACTCTCCAATATACATTCCAAAAGGCACGAAGCTATGGGCAAATTTCTACGGCTTACATCGTGCTGAATCCGTATACGGTCCCGACATTGAATCCTTCAATCCCGATAGATGGGACTCTATCAAGCCTAGCCCTTGGGAATTTATGCCTTTTGGAGGAGGACCACGCGCTTGCGTTGGTCAACATAAGGCATTGGCAGAGGCATCGTATATGCTAGCAAGATTTGCGCAACTCTATAAGAAAATAGAGAGTCGAGATGCAAGAGCCTGGGCGGGTCAGCAGAAATTGACCGCAAGTAATGTGAATGGATGTAAGGTCGTCTGTGTACCAGCATGATGTTGACATATCCTACTTAACCTCTTCCTAAGTGTTCTCCAGTATAGATTCAATTGGGAGATAGATCCGGCTAAAGATTATTCAAAAGCTGCGTGGTGGATTTGAGCGCGGAGGGTTGGTGATTGGAATGTAGAAACCGAAGATAAATAAATACCCTGCAGATATCTTCCCGCTTATCTGAACAACACCTTACTAAGAATGAAACTTTTATCAATCTTTTGGAATTGTGGCACGTAGCCATAGGTGTTATGACGCTGTAGGATTCACATATACATAGTCGAGTAGATAGTTCTATAAAGTAAAGTCTACAAATGAATTTCTACCATAAATCTACAACCCGCACTCCAACTTCAACAGAAAAAGTCTCCTCATAGCTTCAATAACAGATACTATTAAAAACGAATAACCCGTATTTAAATGATGGCGCGTACCAATCTGCCCGTCGTCTTCCTCGCTATCCTCACTTTCCTCCTCATATTCTCTATTCAAGTACAAGCACAAATACAAACACCAGCACAAACATCAGAGCAATCACCAGTGTCAGCACCAGTATCAGCACCAGAATCAGCGCCAATATCAACCCCAAGAACCTCCACTCGTCTAACTTCAAGTCTTAGCAACAACGGAACTTTTTAAGTTTTCCATCATACCTTATCATATTCCTATCCCAACTCTCCTCTCCTCCTCCCCACGTCCCCCTCTTCAAATCCGAACACAACCCAAACTAACAAAAACAACAACAAAAAGCCACAACAGCACCAGCACACGCAGACCAACAAACACAAGAACAAGCGTCACATTGACGGATTCAGGTGGTTTTGCTACGGGCACAAGTACTATTAATGCGGGGGAAAATATTAATGTAGGTGTTGCGCCGCGTGTTGTGATGGGAGGGTTTGCGGTGGTTTCGGGGTGGGTTTTGGTTGGTTAGGGTGGAGGGGAGAGGGGAAAAGGAGGAAGAGGATGAGGGATGAGGGATGAGGGATGAGGGATGAGGGATGAGGTTGTGATTTTGGGGAGACGGAGGGGATTGGGTAATAAAAAGTGTTGGGATGAAGGAATGGCGAAGTGGGTTGCTCATATGTTGATGTTTATTATACGAATAGATGGGTGGGTTGAAAGAAAGCAAGAGATAGTTCAACCAGGATTCATTAAACAATTTGAGGGCCAGACTCGGATTTAGGGGTTTAGGAAGAAGATGTAGAGGTTGTGTTGCTTTACTTTAGAGATATCAATATGCGACAATGTTTCAAAAATAAAAACTTGTCCTTGGCAAGCAATATCCTCCTCTTCCAGAAAAGAATACCATATTTTTCGCCATGCTCAACCGAATGTTCTAGCCTTGAAGTTCAGCTCGGTAGTCACACCTGCCGTCGTTGAATGGATATTTTGTTCAAGAATCGCTCCAGAACATCGGAAGATGATCACTGTTTAAATGCTCCCTGACGCCTGTGCTTCCGAATGCTGCAGATACCACTGGTGACTCTTTTCACGCCTGTGTACTTCGTCAGACGAACCCCCCTTCCGAGCTATGTATCAACCCTTTCCCCACCACATGTCGGCAGAAAGAATATCCGCTTGTGATTAAGCTTCACGGAGAGTAATATCAAGAAACCTCACTTCGCACTCAATTCTGATTTTTAGTACCCGCAACAAAGTCGCAGATCCATGCACATAACATGGATATCCCTATAAGGATTCAAGGCCTAGGCGACGACACAAAATCAGAGGAAGAGTATCCGCACAGGAGTATTGAGTACTCTGATGTTTCGAAATGTTTACACTCGTAGCATCAAAAATTTCATTTTCCAGCAGTCCGAACATCTCAAACCGATCATACTAAACTTCTGATTTCTGATTCTAATTTCCGACACCAGTGAAAGAAATCGACAGATTCTTAGGTTCTAAACCCGTAAATTCATGAAACATAATTTTCTTCCTGGCACAGTATAAGCACAATGGAATATAGGCTACCGAAGTTAAGGAGTACAATCTTTGAAGTAACCCCGAGCACAAGTGTTGGACGAACAGTGAAACATGCACCATTGACTCCTTTTAATATGGACAGAGATCATTCCACTACCAGAATGCCTCCAACTCCAACACCACAACATGCGGTAATGTGGAACAAGATCCCACGCATATACTCACTATCGACAACAGAGCAACTTTCCGCGAGGTAACTGTGCATGAAAAACATTTAACATGTAGGAATAAAACAGGAATCTAATGATCTGATCTAATGAGAGTGATCTCATTCTAAAGTTGCATTAACCGGAAGGAAAGTTTAAAACTTCCTCTCATCTCCTCTAGAGCAATCTCTGTTTGATAACCTATATGTTCCATTCTGCGCGACGACCTCTTCTCACTCTTTCTTCTCAGCCTCTTCCTATCTCTTCTTTGGTCTTCACTTTCTTCTGTCAGGCCTAGGAAGCTTATCTGTTTTTACTTGCCTTCCATCGTCCTTTCTCCCCTGCCTCTTTCCTTCTTGTGCATCCTTAAGCGCTCTTGTAGCAGTCTCGACTATTCTTTTAGAACCAGGAGTTAGGGGAAGAGGTTTTTCACCTGTCCCTTCGAGATCTCGCAGAGTATTCTGTCTCTTGATATTTTTGGTGGGAGTATTGTCACGAGAGCTCTGTATCATCACACCTATTTGGTGTTAGTAGGAGTTTAAGTAAAATCAAAGATTTTATCTTACTGTTTGCTGAGGGACTCCTACGTCTCTCAGGGGTACGAGGGGGTTACCTGATCACAGAGCTACTTGGGCGGAAATATTTATCTTCAAATTCTTGAGCTTGTCCTTTAGACTGCATTGACAATTCCGCTTTCTTAGACTTTGATCTAGATGTTCTATCACCATCCGATGCCGTACTAGTGGATGCGGACACAGGTGGCGCATTACGTCTTCTAGATGACTTGGGATCGATCTTATCACTAGACCCTGTGTTTCGAGAAGTATGACCAGAATCTCTCCCGTACATATCAATGATTTTGCTGATTTCACCATCACTTTCGACTCTTCCATGGCCAGCAGTACGACTTTTTGAACTCATATTTGTAGCGATTCAGTGTGTCGTGTTCTAATGTATTTGTGAGTCTGGGAGAGCGATTTTAGAGAGGTAATAAGAGGGGATAATGAGTATTGAGGTTGATGAGAATGAAACTACAAAATATAACTTCATCAAACCATTTATATTTATTCAAGTCAGACTAGCATTGTTGGTTTATCGTGAGCCATAATGCCGACCAGGTACACTGGAGGCAGGTCAATGATATATCCGATCTGCATGTTACAACAAGGTGTTTCAAAGCCACACCAAAAGCGGATTCGATGTTGTTAGATTTGTTGTTTTAATTGTATTGAGGACATTGCGATGGGGCTCATATATTCAGTTAGGTAACAAAAAGACAACAAGAGGGCCATAAAAAAGGTGAAGGGTCGGCGAAGGGCGGCTCGCGGCAAAGTGGGCTATCCAACAAGTGCATAGTTCGCAAGCAACATGTTAAAAATGCCTTGCAGTGTATAATGGCAGCTTCCCAAAATAAGAATGCTCACGCCATAATTTTGAACTATCTTTGAATGCGATATGGGTATACTGAGGATAAACACTTGTTCAAAATCTAGAACAAGAAAGCTGCGGCAACATCCATAGAGGGCTAACCACGCAGACGACCATATCTTTAAAAATATTAATAGAAAACAAAGGAATAGGCAACATCGAGGCCCGACACCTAACCGGCGAGACTCATGACCACACAAGCTTGAACTTGCAAGAGCCCGAGGTTGATTGACACGTACACTTTCGACAAACTAACCAAGCCCGATCCAAGAATAATATGTGAACATTATTTAGCCCAATATGGGTGGCTTCATTGAATGTACTGCACACTTGCGGAACCAAAAAGAGCCTATTGAAATGTGCAAAGTCACCCGAATGTAGATTACTCATATATTTCCATCATTACGAGGCTTCATCATTGTAGAATTCACCACGTCGTTCGAAACATTATGACCGTCGATTCGAAGACTTCCTACATTGCTTTGGCTGAAGTTCTTTCATATGTTGAGCGACCAGTCCACATGGTCACCCAACGGATGTGATGAAGTCTTGATATCCACATTCATATCTTCAGTATCTTACACTTCATGCAGCTCAAAATCCACAGACACGGCTACCGTAACATCGTCATCCCATCATGCCGAGTATCATGCACGTAATTGCTGCGCTCATCGTCCTCAGCTTCCTAGGCGGGTGTGCCTTCATATTGCCCCGCAGTTCCATCGCTCATGACGTTTGTTGGCCCATCCACTAATATCTTTTCTTTAATGACTCAAAGTACTTCTTTTCTTCGACTTCCTCCTCTGCAACGTCGCTCTCCCCTTCCTCGTCTTAATTCTGCTTAAAAATCCATGCCTCCTCTTCCTAACAAAATGACTCGGACTAAATGTATTTCTAGGTCCACAACGGACTTGTGTTGTGCTCAATGCTGGATGTGCTGAGATCTTTGGGAGGAGATCTAATGGTGCTGCTTCTGAAGCAATGATCACCGATGACGTGGGTTTGAATGCGCCGGGAGATAACGTTGGTCGGAGGGGTGTTATTGAGGTAAATGTTCTGGAAAGTTGTGAGTATGGAGATGTGGCTGTGTGATGAATTGGTGAAAATCTACCTTTTCACCAGCATAGAACTTGACTGTGAAAGTACCCTCGTTACAATTGGAGTAACCCTAAGACCATGAGAGCAGTGTAGACACAACATTTTGCTTCAATCTGTGAATATCTTGACCCGTTCCAGAATTTGAGGTTATTAACCATGCGGTATCAAAATCAAAAACCACGCTAGCGGACAATTTCCCCGCCTCAGTCGCAAAAAAATCTCGAGCTCCATGAAACTTCCCGATTCACACTTCGAAATTCAGTTTTTGGACGATCTTTGAACATACAATCTTCACAGTTACGATCAATTTTTTTCATATTTAAAAGTTTATCAAGATGTCCGCCTTTCCACCCCATAGATCCATCCCTTCAATCCCCGTCAATCAAACAATCGCTCTCAAATACCTCCAAGATTATCTCTCTCTCACATCCAGCACACCATATCTTCTGCCCAACGCCAAACTCGAGCCTACGGGTCCTACAATTGGTAGTAGTCACTCCAGCGTCACAATTCACAATCTTCAACGAGTTGAAGCCGGTCTACGTGGAGAATGGCTTGCGCCAACGTTAGAACTTGAGGAAGGAAATGCAGTGGAGATTGCGCAAGGTATGGATGATGGGACTGTGCAAGGAAGTGGGGAGGGTGACAAAATGGATGTGGATGGCTGGCAAGATAAGGAGGAATTTGAGAGAGAGCAGAGTATTGAGGAGGGAGATGTAGGCTCAAGGGTTCAAAAGGTGACAAACAGGGAAGTTGATAGCGATCTCGATGATGAACCAAGCGCGAAGGAAGTTCCAGATTTCACGAAGGCCCCGAAAGAATTATCTAGAAAGGAGAAGGATGCACGAAAGGCAGAGAAAAAGGCGAGACACAAGGCGGAACTGAAAGCGAAGGAAACGAAGAAACAATCCAAAGCATAATGAGCATGGCGAACTACAAGTCACAAATTTTTGATGCGTTTTAGCGAGGTTAACAGGATTCTTCTAATTCAGTCTATACTGTACATCTACAGTTCTCTACCACTAGCTTTTGCGACATTCTCATCGTTTGAAACCTTCTCATCCTTAGCAGCTGGTGCAACTGGACCACTCGACTTCCATCCTAGAGCACCTAATCTCTCCGACAAAATTGGATGCGAGAAATGGTAGCTCGCATACATCCAGTCCGCATCCATAGTACTCAAATTCTGGATCTGCAATTTGATCAATGAACGAGCCAGCTCAGCCTGGTATCCAAGTCCTTGTGCGAAGTTATCTGCTTCAAACTCGTACTTTCTGCTCAGGATGTTCATCAGGAGCTTGATGACTGTGTCCATAGGGGCAAGTGCATCAGAGAATAAGATGAAACCGATAATAATTGGGAATTCGTTGTGGAAACCAAAGGATTGGTACAAGGAATGGTTGTTGATGAAGACGGAGAACAAGGAGAAGATGTAGAAGAAATGGGCCTGTGAAAAGTTAACAATAGGTCGTAATAACTACGTTAAATCTGCATACCTGTGAGATCCCAAAGAGCTTGGTAGTATGTCCGCGACTCCAGTGACCAAGTTCATGCGCAAGAACAGCTACAATTTCTTGTGTGTCGCTCTTCTCAATCAAAGTATCATAAATGACAATGTGCTTCTTCCATGGCAAACCAAAGAAATAAGCATTGCTGTGAGCACTACGCTTGCTGCCATCGATAACATGTAATTCGTGAAGAGGGAAATTCAATCTTTTAGCCAAAGCCTCGACGCCATCCTTCAATTCTCCAGGTTCGAGAGGGGAAAGCTTGTTAAACAAGGGCAAAATCGTAATTGGATAAATGGTAATCATGAAAACCTGGAGTCCAGCACCAAACAACCATAAGTAGTAAAAGAATTGATGTCCAGTCTTTTGGATAATAGTAAGGAAGCCAGCGAGAATTGGTGGAGTCAAAGTAAATGCCAACATTTGTCCCTTCAACATATCCATAACAAAGATCTTAGGCGTCTGCTTATTGAAACCAAACTTCTCCTCGAGTACAAAGGTCTGGTAAATAGAAGTTGGCAGCGAAAGAATTTGTTGAATTACAACAAAAGTAAGAACGAAGACGATGGAGTGAGAAATTTCACCGGTAAATCGAGCCGGTGCAAGTCGTAAAAGCCATGAGCCAGTGAGATCCCAAAGTTTGGGAAGAACGTCGAAATAAATAAATGCCGTGTTTTGAATTTGTCCATAGAGTCCTGCTACGAAACCGAATTGTGCTTTTGCGCGTCCATAGGCCTTTGGGAGGTCAGTGGGTGGTGGTGGGGAGATGGTAAGGCTGAGAATGAATGACATACCTGGCTTTTGTCGAAAACTTCTTGAGAGACTTCATTTGAGAGAACCTTGGGGGGACGAGTTTGCTTTAAGATTTGATACTGGCGGAGAGAGAGAAAACCTTCGAAAAGGTATTGTGTGAGAGAGAATCCAACGATGAGCTTTTTCCATGGGAATAGTGGCCTATCAAGGAAACGCGCAAGGCGCTGAAAAGTCATAGTTAGTATTTGTGAAGATAGCTCAATGGGAATATGACTGGAGGAGTTATACCTGAAGAAAATCCATCTTGAACTCAATATTGAGATGGATGGTACGTTGATACCTCTCAATGAAATAAAAGAGTGGTCTTGTTGTTCAGTTGGAATTGAAAGATTGAATGATGAGCGAGGAAGATGTGGTGCACACCAGTGATACCCTAATTCTGTCCACCAATGCCTAATCCTAAGGCGCCAATCTTACGTCTAATATGCTGTTTGTTTTGACGACGCTTCATCAGAAACATCTTCTTCAACACAACATAACATTAAATTCCATCGTTACAATTCAATCAATTAATTCTCTAGAGAGCAGAAGTCTGTTTTGATTGCTAAAAATTATGACAAGAGAAGTGGCGATATATTCTTCTCCATGATCATGAGCCACCTTCTTTGTCGGAGAATACCAACCGTTAAGCACCGATGTCAAGGACATTTCTAAACTCGTCCTTCAAGTCGGCAGTAAAAAGGGGAAAGGTAGCCGATGAGTGTAGTCACTCAAGTTTGTATTAGTGAGCTACGGAGTCCATTGGTCAATATTCACGGAGATGCAGAGACTGATGGGACTTGTGATGCGCTGTATGCATGATGCCATAATCACACATGGCGTATTCAATGTTACAATGTCAAAGTATAGGAGTTTAGTAAGTTAAGATCGGGTTTGAAGCTTTTGATAATTCCGTGGAAAGCGAGGAGGGGTATATATAGAGGTAGGAGGTCACAAAGTTGTGTGCACTCCAGAAATCAAAATCATTATCTACAAGAGCATCAAAAACCCAGCACTTCTCAAAAACTGATACAACTACACAACCATCCAAAGCGTATATCACCATGCCACACTCCACCGAAACAGAAACAACCCAACAGTCAAGTTACGCTGAGATGACCTTGAAAGAATCCCTCATGACACGACACTCAAGCCGAGCCTTCCTTCCCACTCCAGTTCCAAAATCCATCATAAACTCCACTCTAGACCTAGCTCGCTTCGCCCCCTCAAATTCAAACATCCAACCCCAACGCCTTTTCCTCTTAACAGGCGAGCCCCTCGAAAATCTCAAATCTAAACTATTTTCCATAGCATCAGAATCCACTCCCAACATTCCTCCCCTCCCTAAGGAATACACACACTACCGCTCTGAAGTTGGTCGACAACTCTACGGCGAAGCGATGGGTATTCCACGATCCGATTCCAAAGCTCGCAACGCAGCCGTCCTTCGTAACTATCAGTTTTTCAACGCACCAGTTGGGGCATTAGTGTGTATTGATAAAAGTCTGACGAGCGCGGATAGACTGAGTGTGGGGATGTGGTTACAGAGCTGGTTACTGGCGCTCACGGAGAGAGGAGTAGGTTCATGCGTGCAAGTTTGTCAGACGGGTTATCCTGCGTTACTGCGGACCGAATGTGGGATTAGTGATGATTTAGAGATTTTGGTGGCGGTGTCGATTGGGTATGAAGATTCGGAGTTTAAGGCTAATGGGTTGAGGATTGGGAGAGAGGATGTGGAGAAGTTTGTTCATTTTTTGGAGTAGAGCATCTTCTTGAGTTTATGTTTGTGATTTGGAAATTTGTTAACTTGGATTTCATCTTTTTCCTTTAGGAGTTCATATTCTGGGCCTATGTAGATATTAGATTAGAATACACCAATAATCATCATTTACAACTCTCCTAAAACCTTATACTTATACCATCCATCCTGAAATGTTCGACTACCAAAGCAATGAATGAATGGTCATCTATTCCATCATGACTTTACTTTGGACATCTTCCATACCTCGAGCAAAAAGCCAGACGCTCAAAACAACTGTTTATTGATACACCTACCATCCTAACCACCCAATCAGCAACTCTTTCGAAGCTCGTTCTTCTTCTT